AGAGTCGATCATTTACCTCTTAGTAAATTTGTAGTAAGCAACTTTGATTGTCAACCTCTGAGAAAAAGCATCTGTGTTGTCTTTACACATTACATTTCGTTTTTTTGTTAAGTGCACATAATGATGCGTAAGCGCAAGACCACACTGAAGATTTTTATTCAATAAGATAATTATCGCTTCTCGACATTTTCGGCTAAGATCAAAGTGTAGTATCCTTTTCTCGTTAGTTTGAAAGCCGGTGCTAGTCCTACTGGGGCTAGACTCTTTCAAGTGAATTTTTGGACACCGACTAGGAGCATTCGAGTTGACTTCGATGCATGCCATGGATCGTCTCTACACTGTAGTGCCGTCAAGTTTGGTTCACTTCCATCTCCTTTGGAGCATGGGAATCCATCTATCATAAGAGACTAATATGAAGCTATTCATTATGGGTGTGAGTGTGGATTCTAGTGTGGGTGTAAGTGTGAGTGTGGACGTGAGGTGGATGTGGCTGTGGGTGTACGTGTCCGCGTGCGTGTATGAAAAGAGACCAAACTTACACCCGCACCACACCCACACCCACAGTGCGAATACATTCCGTTAATGCAGTCATTCGAAGAAGCACTGTAATGAGTTCTCAGATGCAGTGCTGTCAAAAATCGATTGTATTCTACATTGTTGAATGTAAAAGTGTATAGATATATTTTGGATATATTTTGGATATATTTAGGCAAAACAGTCCGAAACAAGATCGTATACGGCCTAGTTTACGTATTGTTAAACGCTGTCTAGTAATCGCTTCGCAAAGGTTCCGTAATTGATACGTAAGTACACCGTAAATAGATCTCCGTAAACGAAGTTCTACTGAATACAGTAAAGAAACCGTTTTGTATCCGTTACCTGCCGTATACGGACCGTTCCATCTGACCTGGGTGTGGACGTCGTTGTCTTCTATTAGATGCGAGGTGTGTGCATACCTTGCTCAATCTTTTTGTTCGTTTCTCTTACTCTCTGTTGATTATGTGGAAATGTATATGGTGTCGTATGTTTAGTTGAGATTTTCTGAAGGAGCCAGTGTTTTAGTTTTTGGAAGAAAAACGAATTATCTTTTTTCCCTTAGTTGTTACTACTAACAAGAAAATTGCATGGGTTCGCTACATCGAGTACCCTAATATCAAGTATCAGACAATTATCGGTTGAGGGCTGGTCTAGTTAAAATTTATAGTCAAGACACTTTTTCACTACCTGATGAATATATACAACTAAATACTTTTGTAAAGTATCATATGTGCTTTTACAAATATTGTCTGATGGTAAACATAGCAAAGAGTTATGCAGTGAAACAACATTGCTGATGTTTATCATTTTTGTTTCGAGAACTAAAAGACAGTTGACTGCTTCTCACTTGTTAGGGAAAAGAAGTATTGTCTTATTACCTATACATATACTTTCTGGTTTTATATAGGAGCTATATATTTTTATATATGTAAAAGCATGGGGAGGTAGGAATTTATTAATGGCCAGAAGATAGATAATATGTGACGAATATAAAGAGAGAAAGCAAAGAGATGAAAAATAAATTTATCTCAGCATACTAGAACAGAAAGGTGCGTACGCGTGGATGCATGCCAACAGAGCTGAACAAGTATAGATGGGATTCACATGTAGAATGAAGTCATGCTATAATATTGGTAGGAACGAATTTCACTGCACCCATTATTGTTATGTCTACCATCAGACAATATTTGTAAAAGCACATATGATACTTGACAAAAGTATTTAGCTGTATATATTCATCAAGTAGTAAAAATGTGTTTTGATTACAACTTTTTATGGGATCTGCCTCAGCCGATAATTGTTTTATACTTGACATCAAAGTATTTGATGTAGTAAACCCATGCAGTTTCAGCTGAAATCTTGGGTCAACACCTAAGAACCTCTCCTTGTTCAACATAGAACTCTTGAATGAAGAGTCGTGTAAAAAAAGGATTCCAGGATTGGTTAAATATAATGATTAGAGCTCACTGAACTCTAGTAATGAGAAAGATATAAGCTCGAATACTTGCAATTTTGACTACTTATACCTGACAACGTAACTTTGACCACTAGCATAATTGTCTTTTATAGGTACTGACACAGAGTTATTAATAAAGAAAAGAGCTAATTCTAAGAGAAGAAGACGAAGAAAAACAAATTATTGCAATCGTTTTTGGAAAATACGCTATCATTGAGTCTGTCGTTATATTTATGAAAAGTTGTCTGACGGTTTGAAGAAATATTCAGAGTATCGTCTTTGCATAATATTTATTCGAAGTACATTCTGAAAGACGTAAAGCATAGAAAATGACAGTATGTGTGAATAAAAAAAAGATGAGAAAATAATGTAATAAGTTGTGTATTGTTGTGTCCTAATTGTTGATGTTGACATCTGAGTTATAGTTATAATATATGATTGTGTATCCTTAGTATTTATTATCTTATTGGCGATAATACTAATATTATTGAAGCAATTAAAAGTCTTTGATGATATATTAATAGAAACAATTGAAAAAATTATATTCTTTTCATTTGATAATAGGTTTTCCATCAGTTTTATAAGCCTTGTACATCGTCCATAGATCATATTGTTTACTGACAGCTTCTCTAACCAGTTTACCAACATTTTGATTATTACAATTGTTTAATTCACACCAAAATTTAATTGATGAATTATGTTTGAAGATTGCTCGAATAGGTTTGGTTTCTTCATTTTCTTCTTCTTGATTGTTTAGAAAATACATGAGCACATTTGCAATGAACAATATTTTCTATATCATTTAATATAGATGATTATTGAATGTGTTTCTGTTCTTACTCGGCATTCATAAATTATTTTATAAAATTGCAAGTGTATAACTCAATTACTTGCATACCAATATTGATAATATAAGAATATTTCATTTGTGTTTGACAAACATTCTTATTTCAGTGGTGAGATCAAGCATTGGTAATGCATGTAGATCTATATTTTCACATTTACCTTCAACAAGAGTTGTATCCATTGAATAATACCGTGAACATGAATTACGATAACAAGGTTCTACATCATCTCCATTGCCAACAGTACATTCATCTAAAGAAAGATTCATGAACTTTTATCTATGATTAAATCTCGATATGAAAATAAATCTGTTTCGGTCAGATAAAATCTCGTAACTTATGATTCTTACTTTTTTTGTCACCTTGAACTTGTATGAAAGGATGAATAAGAGATTCCAAATTTTTATAATTTGTTTTAACCAACCGATTGTAATATTCAACTACGAACTGATTATCACATTTATCATTGCTATAGCACACTAAATGTACTATAGCCTTAATCGAACTTTGATTTATTTCTTTTTCTGAATTGTGTGATATAATAGAAGTAAAAATGTGTACATAAACGTTTTCAACAGTACGAAGATGTGGTAATTCCATTGATTGACCGAACTTTATCATCAACTTTTGAGCAATAAAATCCCATTCCATATATGCTTGGCACATGGTACTATTACTACGTTTCAGACGGTTAAGAATTGTTTCGATTTTAGTTAAACTAAGTTCGGCTGATGAGAGTTGTAATTGAATCTTATCAACACATTTAATACTATTACAAACTGTAATGCACAGTATAAAAATGATGAAATGAATGAGTGATGCCATCTTGCTATGTAGCAAAATTCAATGATTTTATACGTGTTCCAAAGTCCACTAATATATTATTTTGAAAACATGAAAATATAATACGTGCTAGTAATCGATTATATCGCGATGCAATAGTTTGACAAGAAAAACTTTGTTCATGAAAGAAAAATGTAATATATACATGATATAAGTACACACAAACATATATAGATATATCATGACTCTTATGAAAATGACATTCTCAATCATACTAATTAATATAATAAACATGACAAAAAATCTCTGACTTACGCATTCCTATTATTTGACTATTGCTTTAAACTAATCAATGAAAAGTTATACATACTGAGACTTTTTCATTACTGTGTACTTATTTAACTGTGCATAGACGCTTGAAAATAGCTCAAACTTATCTAGAATCAATACTTGATAAATTTAAGATCTTTGGATTTCAAAGGAAGATTTTTACACACCGAAAACGTTTGTTAATTTCAATTATTTTTCAATATTTGATTTTAATATAGAATTAAATCATTCATAGATTTGTTCTATCAAACGATTTTCAACTTTTTTCAAACTGATTGAAAATTAGTAAAAACATAAATCAATATCATTGTCAAATATTATTTCGAAAATAATTATTGTTCCTTATCTGATTTGTTTCAGACATATTTTCTGTTCTATTTCATTAATAAAAAAAATGATGCTGAGCACATGACAAAACTATCGTTGTTGATAACATTCCTATTAGGCGTTTCAATCATGTCAATATTTTCTAAGGTTAACATGTGCTTCTTCTTTATGTACAAATTATGACTATATTCATAGATTAGAGTGTTAGCAATGCTTCACGTGTAAAATGTACTCAGCCAACTTAAACGATTAATATAATGTTGTATTTGTAATTCAAAAGCTTAAATTATTAAAACATCTCGCTTAGAGAGTTGAACAATAAGTTAATAAGATTCTTCTTTGTCAATAATGTTCTTCAATATTAGAAGTTTATAGCATTATCTGATGAGTGGACCAACACCGTTTATGTAATGCTTTTCAATTAATGACTTTCATTTTCTTGTATTTATTTTCGATTGTCAAACATATTCTATACATTTCCTGTAGATGACACTTAAAATTAATTGTTAACACTCCTTATATGATAATTTTTTTAAGTACTTGTCTGTTTTTCTTCTGTATTCGAAAGAGGGAGTAACATGTCAATGTTTGGAAATGCATGAATTTTTACCACTGGATAAGTCATTATCAATCAAATTTTTGGAAAAAGACATTTCGAAACGAAATAGAAGACAAAAAGTTAAATCAATTATATGGAAGTAGACACTCCTTCTGATCCTAAAGATCCATTAACAAAAACTTCCAACAATGCTGAGCAATCCCATGAACAAGAACAAGAGGAAGAAGAAGAATTTTTAATAATGGCTGATATTGGACATGATATTGATCAACAAACTGTTCTCGAACATGCTGTAAAATCTGAAATTCGAGCAATTGATATTGATGGTACTAATCCATTTATACAAATTGGTCCATATACATTTCAAGGTCAATATAATTATATTCTCGGTACAAATTTATTTTTTAGTACAACATCAGCATCTCTCGATGACAATATCAGTACAAGTAGTCGAACTGATGAAGCAACAACAAATAATCCAAATGGAAATGATTTAAATTTAATTGGTACAAGTGATAAAAAACTAAATCTATCACGTGTTTATATCTATCCAAAAAAGACTGATGATATTGATAATCAATCGAAATCTTGATGTAATATATGTTCAATAAAAATAAAAGAAAAATAATAGTAGAAGACAAAGAAAAAGAAAAAAATCTGACAATTTTATTTTTGAAAATATAAATTTTTCTTTTTTATTATTCTTTTTTATGTTCTATGTTGTAATCATTGATGAACTTCCTTGATCAGATTCTTCTACAGCAGGAAGTGGTGCTGACACCGGATTTATTTCTGTTTGAGTGATTGTGCTATTTTGTCGAGTTGATAAATACTCGTTGAGATCACTTGGTGGTTCTAATATTGAAAAACAAAGTTTTTTTCTTTTGATTTAGTTTTCTTATTTTACCTGGTAATTGTTCGACATAGGTTTTGCTTTGTGTCATATTAAAGCATTTATTTAAAAGTGTTTGAGCAAATGAACTAGCTGGACTTAACCAAAGTCCCTAACGAAAAAAAAAAACTGATTTCGATTTAATAGGAAAAAAAAGAAGAATCCTTACTTGATGAAGATATTCAATAGCTTGACCATAATTTCCTTGTAAAGCATGTACAAATCCAATAGCAATAAGTGTTTGTGGATTACGTGGTGTTAAGCCAAGACATTTTTTAAAATGTATTATAGCTTCATCATATTTTCTAAAATAAATTTTTGTATTATTTATATTGAAACTTTTTTTCTTCTTTACTTTAATTTTCGACATGCATGTCCCATATTATTAAATAATGGTTCCCAAAATGGTAATAAATCAACTTGATCAATAGCTTCAACTTTAATTAAAGCACGTTGAAAAAAAAGTAATGCATGATGATATCTAAATAAAATTTTATAGAGTTTCTTTGTTTATTTGTTTGAAAAGACTTTTGTTAATACATACTCTCGATTAAGATAATTAATAACACCTAATTCATGAAGTACAGCTGGATCATCGGGATAAAATTTTAATGATTCAGAATATAAACGTTCAGCTAACCGAAGATTATTTGTTAAACTATATTCAAGACCAACATAAAGAATTGGTAAATGACATCTATACAAAATAAAAATATGAATAATATTTAAATTCAAGCAAAATTTAATATTTTGCACGTACCCGCGCATAACATCTGCAGCGGTAAAATATGCTGAAATAGCATGATCATGTTCAGATTCAAGACCATATGAATGACCTAATGCAAGCCATGCTGGACCAAAACTTCGACATAATGACGTGGCTTTTCTAAAATAAAATGAAAAAAAAAATAAACAAATAAAAAACTGATCAATTCTCATACGCTAAGTAACGACGTGTTGGCTCAGGTTTTTTTGTTACCAAATAATAACAACCAACTGCTAACCAACTGATCTAAAATTTGAAAAAATATTTTATTTTTTTGTTCTCTAAAGAATTTCTAAATTTTCATACTGGATTTTCTGGACATTGTCTTGCTAATCGATGTCCCAAACTAAATAATTCTATTTAAAACAATGATCAAATCTATTGTTCTTTTTTTTCACAAATTACAAACCAGTTTTATCTTTCATTTCATAAAGTAATGCAATATATATAAACAAACCATGTTGATGAAATGGATTATGAGTAAGAACTCTATAAATAATTAAATACAAATAATGTATAAAAACACAACGAAGGAGAAACAACAGAGCCTAGAGATTCGGACGCAATTGATCAAACTTTTTCAGATTCGATCGAACTATTCTATGATACTCTCAGTGAAATTGTCCAATCGAAATCAAATAGTCATATCCAAGATGTAACATATATCTCTCCAGTCTTTTTTGTATTCAATGACTAGCACATCCTATACATTTCTCCGATAATAAGAGCTCATCGTGTTCAAAATTTTCGAATCTAAGACCAAACCGATGGGCTCTAGTGGAGACTTCAGACTTCAAATCTCATGAAATTTTGGAGTTCGCTCTTGCCACCTTCGTAAGAAAAAAACAAACACTACATACTTTTTACATAAATCAAATGATTCACGAAATTTATAATTATAATAACATTTTTCTGCAATCTAAATAGAATGGGAAGTGTTTAGAATGTTATTCTATTTATTTTAATATAGCATACATTTATACAATAATCGGCATTATCATTTAATAAACCGATGGTAAATGTTGGAAGATTAACAATAATTGGTTTCATATACTAAATAAAATTGAATAATTCGTTTTAGAACTTTTCTAATAAGAATAAAATCTAAAGTAATTGTTTTTTTTTACTTGATGAATTTCTTGTTCATATAAACATCGTACAACTGAAGCAACATCAGAATCACATTGTTTTTCAATGACCATTCTTTCGACTAATCGTTGTTCTAAAAATCAATCATGAGTCTTTGTATAAACTACTTCCCCCACCCCCCCCCCTCTCCAAAAAATACCTTCTTCTGGTGTATACATATGTTTCTTAATTAATTTTTCATATGCCTCTGCACAAAAAACATCGAAACGAAGAGCTTCTTCATAAAATTTCATTGCTTGCTGTAATGAACCAAGAATTTCAGCGACTTTTCCACGTAATAAACATATTGATGCACGAAGCTAAATAAAACATATATTATCAAGAAAAAAAAATGAATTAATAAAATAAGTTAATACAGGATTAGAAAATTCAAAATTTGTTATTTTTGGTGTAAATGGTGTTTTAAATGATGTTCCTGGTTGTTGTTGTTGTTGTTGATCTACATCAAGAAATTCTTCAAGTACTTCAAGAACAGTTGCTGCTGCTTGATAATCTTTCAAATTAAACTAAAAGGAAATTTTAATAAAAAGAAAACTCTAGATATAACTAATATATATATGTTTCTATTTACATGACAAAGAGCAACAAGATATTTAAATTGAGGATCTGTCTAGAAGAAAGGAAAGATAAAATTTCGTTTATAATGATTAGAAAAAAAAGTTTTACATGATACATAGGAGAATTTTCAAGAAGAATACGGGTTCGATTATAATCACCATTGGACATGAAACATTTTGCAACAAGAAGTAAATCATCAGGTGAATCTATAGATAATAAAATCTTTTTTTAAAAATATTACACAAATTAAATAATTTACTTCGATTTAATGAAAGTAATTTATCGCCCCAAAAAGCAGCTGATTCGAATTGACGCTAAATAAATTTAGAATTATGTTTTTATATAATGATAATCAATTTTGCTTTTGAATTGACAGATAATATATAAAAAACAATTTTTTTTTTAAATGAATTCTCAAATAAAACAAAACTCAGTTATGATTTTTTTTGCGAAATTCGATTGATAGACTAATATTTGGAAAACTTCATATCATTTGAAAATCTTAGTTTGAAAATTAGTTCATCAAACAAGTATTAGCTTCAATCAGAATCGCGCAGTTTGTTCTATTATCGAATAGCTCTTAGTATTAGTACTTAACAGATGAGGTCAAATTTCTATCATCGAATAAATAATTTATTGAATGCATATTTATATAACCATATTATATAATTACTGTTTTCCAGAGCACTTAATGCTTTGTTTACCCGACTGTATCCAGATTTACATACAACATTCTATCGTTTGCATCCAGTTATCAAGACAATGAGTGTAGACTTGAGACGCAGTTTGCCGCGGAAATGACTAATTTTCCACAGAAGAAGAAATTTTTTCAAAACTTTCTATTATGACAATGAAACAGTTTATTTCATTTAGCTATGAATAATTATACAATCAAAGATTGATCTATTTCAACTTTGACTCAATCAAACAGCCTCAAATTTTTCGTACGACTCATATACATAATACTGCTTAGAAATATCATTAATGACTTTATTGACAAAATATAGCCTACTATATAGTGAGAAAAACACACGTGAAGCGAATCATTGATAATTTTCAGTTCATACCTGGCACAAAAAAATACGAGAAAATCGAAATAAACTCTATTAACCATAATGCATTGATTGAGACAGAGCAAAAATTTTGAACTAGTTAATTGAAACACCGATGACTGAGATATTTCAAATATGCAATTATGAACAATGCTTTTTATAGAAAAGTTGATGAATAGATTCCTAAAGGACTCATTTATAAGTTTGAATTATTGGTTATGAATCCGAACACTCAATCTAACTTGTACTAAAAGTGCAATCTGTGTATATCAGCAGGACATCATTAATAAAGTTTATTCTGATTTCTCGTGTTTCTATGCTAGATGAGGACCGATAATTATCAATAGATCGCTCGACATTTATTTTTCTTACTTGATGAACTTGAAAAAAGTCTCTATCATTAACAAAAACAACTTGACCTATTTCATTAAAACAACATGAAGATCATTCAATGTTTTATCGTATAGTATTACATAGGAAAAAACTAATTGTTACTAATTATAAAAAACATAAGTAGTTTCGACTTGAAAGCGTAACATATCATTAAATGATAGGTAAGAAAGAAAGAAGCTGTTTTATTACTTCATAAAGCTAAATAAATTATGAAAGCTACAGGTGAAGCTTATGCTATTATCTCCAAAGAAAACGTATCTAATACGTCAAGCTTTACTTCGTAAATTGGTTGACGAGACATTTCATCAATGAGTATAGGTGCATGCAAATAGATTCTTAACCTCTGGCATATATACAACTGTAAGAGTACCATAGAAATTCCTATAAATTGTGTATATCAAATCGATATAGAAAAAGAGATTTCCAAAATATCTAATTATTAATTCAGTATATTATTAATCAAGAAGAATAATCTATTAGATAAACATCTGTGAAAAAAAGAGAGAGAAGGACGCCATGATATTTACGATAAATGACTATTTCTTGAGAATAGCATAGTGCTAGATGAAAAATATTTCTTCTTATCCAGTTTTTTTAGAAAAATCAATCTTTTTAATTTTATTCTTATTTAGATAAGAAAACGTTTACATAAAGTAACATTTTCATTTTCCCCTTGGTTTTACTCTTGAAGCTTAAAGTTCATGGTCATATATCTGTATCTTGAGCCGCTATGGTTGAGTAGCTACATAGTTTGACACTTTTTCACAAGGTACTGTGCTCAAGCCTTGAAACCATCAGCCATAAAATGACCCTGAGCAAGTCACTCATGGTTGTTTGTCTCGGATCACTCGTCCGATACAATGCTGACTACGTTATGAAATACACCTACGCTTACAGTTGATCAGTGTGTATAGAGTTCAAGCAATTTAGTACAATAACTCTGTGTCAGGTTAGACTTCTATCTAGAGCTACATATAGTATTAATTGTATGTTAGATATTAGGCTATTTTCCTTGTATATCTATATATTTTATTGATTCTAAAGTCTGAACCAATGAAAATAATGTAAACAATAATTCTACATGCAGAAAGTACTCAAGATGCTAGACGTGGTAGAATTTTGAAAGAAATTCAAAATTACAAAACAAATAGTTTTCTACAAGATAACACCTCGACAAGATTTTATCGACTTATAAAGCATGCTAATTTAGAATAAACCTTGAATTTCTAAAAGAAACTATTCAAAGAATTTCAATAAAAATTTAACTGTCACTTGTAACAATTTCATCGATGTCTACATATGATAGAAAAGTATTTGTTCTACAATCCTTTTTTCTTTCAATACTTCATGTTATTTCTATAAAAAAGATACGAAACAACAAAATTTTCATCGTCTCTGTGTGTGTGTGTGCAAATCTGAACATCTTTAAAATTCCGGGTTTTTCATTACCTGTGCTGAATAATCTTCAACAACTTTACGTAATCGATTAACAACACGTTGAAGTTGTTCTTCAGGATTATCAATCATTATTGAATTTTGGTTTAGGACAATAGAAAACAAATGTCTATAGAAAGAATTCAAATGGACGGACAGCTGTATATCTGACTCATACAGTATAAAAAGAAATGATCATTTTTGATTGGTCGAAAATTCACCTTTATTCATGTATAGTATCCTCTATCCATTTTTGCTTGAACTGTCAAATGATAAAACGAATATATATGCATAAGTGTGCTATTATTATAATAAATTCGAATAGCTGCCTGATTGATCACAAGCAAAAACAGTCAAGTCATCAGCAAACGATGCTACTGCGACTACAGCTTCATAATGTTTGTGTATTGGTCGTTGTGGATGTAGACCCCTACGGCATTAGTTTAAATTTATTTTATTAAAATGTTTCTAGATAAATCTCTCCTACTGTTTTCGTTTGTCGTTTTTTATTCAAACGATGCAGGTATATATTAAAAAGCCTTCAATAAACATCAAATAAACATATAGTCAATGATTATTCTATTTCAATCATTCATATTATATTAATATTATCTTGGTATTTATCAATCTAATATTTTATTTGTTTTCAAATTCAAATATATATATTAAATATGCCAAAAGCAGGAGCTAGTTCCAATGCTGCACCATGTACGAAATACTTTTTATTTTATTGTTTATTCTTTTTTTTACTTTAGCTCTTGCACGTACAATTCAAGCGAAAAAACGTCGAACTAAAAATGCCGGAAAGCCTCGACCACCACGAGATTTACTTCAAAAGAAATTGTAAGTAATACAAAAAAGGTTTTCATCAACTAATGAGCAATTGTTTTATTAGCACAAAATCGAATGAAAAGAAACATATGTCTAGGTGTCATGATCATCGTTGTGAAATAAGCATATATATTGATATATACGCTTTATATACAAATGTAGTTTGATATGCATGATTGAGGATGATGATGATATACAAGAAAAAGAAAAAGAAAAAAAAATCATATGAGCATAAGAGAATATACATATGTAAAGCGAAGGACATTAAAAAAAATACTGTCGAGAATATGTTAATATGAAGATATGAGATGAATACAGGAACGAATTCTATTGCTTTATATCATTCGGCCGTTGATGGTCTAATCCCTCCGATGGATAATACTGAAAAAAATTTGATGACCAAACAACAAATAGCATGTTCACATTATCCAATCATAAGTTCACCTATACAAACATCATATGTACCACAATCATATCCAATACCTTCAAATCTTTTCCGTTCATCAACAGGATCTATATTATATCGTATACCAAATTCTCGAACATTAACAACAACTATTCTTCAACCAAATAATATGCGATGGGATTCACCAATAAATATTGATGACTTTGAAACATATCCGTTCGCTAGTGACAAAAAAAATTTTCAAAATTCAATTATTTTATCATCTGGAAAAAAATTATTACGATCAGAATCATTAAAAATTTCAAATAATAGTTATTCACTGAATAATGATTTAATACGAAAATCAAAACTTGATGCAAAATATTTCTGTGGTCTAGCACCGATTGATGAAAATAAACTAACGATAAGAGACATACCTACTTTTCGTCCTCATTCACCAATAATAAGTAGGTGAGTGATAAATAAAATAAGCTCGGTTGAATCATACTAAATCTATTCTCTATTAATAAGAAAAACATATCATGCATAATTTCTTTTCTATTTAAATAATGTTATCTTATTTCATTGTTTTATTAGACCTACAACAACTGCTAGTGGTACAGCTCCTTCACCATCAGCTGTAACACCGTCAACACCAATTATTCAAACAGAACATGTTCCAATACCGCAATCGGATTCATCATTTACAATAGCAAGTAGTGGTGGCTTGTCATCAAGTGCTCCACTTCCTACATCGTAATTTTATTTTGATTCAAAAATATATTAACTAACAAAAAAAATTTTCATTTTATTTTTTATAGAGCTTTACGCAATAATGATAATTTAATGGTAGACATAGCAAATATGAATGGTCCATTAGCTGCTCCAATTAATGTTGAAAGTGACAATGAAGAAGAAGAAAATCATGACATTCGTGGTTCAGATGATGATGAACAAGAAGATCCAAAAGATTATTGTAAAGGTGGTTATCATCCAATAACAATAGGTTCCATTTTTAATCAACGTTATCATGTTATACGAAAATTAGGATGGGGTAAGAGAATTAGAAATTTTTTTTTTGCAATTTTCAAATTTTTTTTTCAGGCCATTTTTCTACTGTATGGCTATGTTGGGATCGTAAATCTGCAAGATTTGTTGCAATGAAAGTTGTTAAAAGTGCTAAACATTATACTGAAACAGCATTAGATGAAATAAAATTACTAACACATGTTCGTGAAAGTGATCCATCAGATCCATATCGTCTTAAATGTGTACAATTATTAGATGATTTTAAAGTAGCTGGTGTTAATGGTACACATGTATGTATGGTTTTTGAAGTACTTGGACATAATTTACTTAAATTAATTATACGTTCAAATTATCGTGGTATACCAATACCAAATGTTAAAACAATTATTAAACAAGTACTACAAGGTCTTGATTATCTTCATCGCAAATGTCAGATTATTCATACGGATGTAATAAAATGAAAAAAAAAGAGGATTTATTTTTTTTAAGCACAAAAAACCTATTTTCGTTCTAGATCAAGCCTGAAAATGTACTAATGTGTGTCGATGAAGAACATGTCCGTGCTTTAGCTTATCAAGCTGCTGAATGGCATAAACCTGGTATTAAACCAGTTGGGTCTGCTGGTATAAAGCTTTCTTCTTCTCGATAAATATTTATGTATTTATCGATTTATTTATTTATAGTTGCTACCGCACATATTGTAAACAAACCAGATCCAAAAACGATGTCAAAAAATAAGAAGAAAAAATTAAAGAAAAAAGAAAAACAAAAGCAAAAAATGTTAGAACTTACTCAACAACAAATTCAAGTAAAAGATATAAAATTAAATATAAATTTTATTATCATTCTTATTCAGGATGCGGAAAAACAAAAGCAAAATTTATTAAGTTCACCCAACCAACTTAATTTAAACAAAATGGTTCTTACTGATCAAACAACTCAATCAAAGCCAGGTAAATAAAATTATTTATTTAGTTTTGTTTGTTCTATAATTTCATTGTTTATTCTATATAGATATTTCGGAAAATATTTCCGGTGAACAAAAAATGAATGGTCATCAAAGTCCTTCAATAGAAAAACCTGAAAACAAATCAGATGAAAGTGACGAAGAAAATGCTATAAATCAACCTGGCAATGGCCATGAAAAAGAACAACAAATAAACTTAACCAATGGAAATAATAATAATACAGAACAAGAACTTAATGAACAAGCTGCTATGGCTGCTGCAGTTGCTATTTCAGGAGATTCAAATAAACAAACAGAATCCAATGAAACTGATGTGACATCCAGACGTAAGCTTATTTTCATTTATTTATAGTAAATATTTAAGTTGTTTTGAGGGCTTCTAGCTCGACCAATGGCTGAACGAACACCAAATCCAGTTTTTGAACTTGTTCTTGAAGATATACTTCAAGTTAAAATAGCTGATTTAGGAAATGCTTGTTGGACAGTAAGTATAACGAAATGAATAAAAAGAAAACAAATGAAATTCTTTATTTAATATTCTTTTGTTTGTTTGTTTTTTTCTAGTATCAACATTTTACAGAAGATATTCAAACTCGACAATATCGTTCACTTGAAGTTATACTTGGAGCTGGTTATGATACATCAGCTGATATATGGAGTGTTGCTTGTATGGCATTTGAATTAGTTACTGGAGATTATTTATTCGAACCACATAGCGGAGAAGATTATAGTCGAGATGAAGATCATATTGCACATATAATTGAATTATTAGGTCCCATACCTATTGAAATAGCTCATTCAGGTCGATATTCAAGAGAATTTTTTAATAAACGAGGTAAAATAAAACCAAAACATTCTTATTTTTGGATAGAAAAAAATCTATTGAATTTAATTTTCAGGACAATTACGTAATATAAAACAATTAAAACCATGGGATTTATTTCATGTATTAACTGAAAAATATAAATGGCCACCATATGAAGCTATTGAATTTACGCATTTTCTTGAACCAATGCTTCATTATGATGTTAATCTACGTGCTACTGCTGCTGAATGCTTAATGAATCCATGGTAAGTTTATTTAAACCAAAGAAAAACAATAGAGATCGATAACAACGAAAAAAGATTCATAATAATAACACTTAGCAACTGTTCTATAATGAATAATCATAAAGAATAAGTGTTATGATTGATAAATTTATAAATGAGTATGCAGTGAAAAATTTTTTTTTTCTTGAGAAATCATTACTAAAAAATCTTAGTATTCGTTGGAATAAATTTCTTTTCCTATATAGGATTACTGGCGAACCTCTATTTGGTAATCCTGCCGAAGGTTTTATGTATTCAGATGAACATTTCGCTTATGGTAGTAGTAGTAATGAACATAGTCCTTCGGCATTGCAAGCAGGCGCTATTGGTTTTGATTTTCGTACACATCCGGCTGATTTTGGTAATTTCTTATCAGCTGCTGTTGGACATCCACAATTTATGCATGGTGCAGTTAATTTTCATCCAGATGAATCGGATGATGATGATGATGTGTCCGAGCAATCAGATGATCTTGATGAAGAAGAAGATGATGAGGAACAATCGGACGGTGATGAAAGTAGTGTAGGCGAGCTTGATGAATGATTGATAAAATAGGGTGGCTCTGCATGTGTGTGTGTATGTTTGTCTATGTTTCTTCTTTTTGTATTTTATGAATTATTTCTGTATGTTTGTGTTTCTGAATGATGTGTTATCACAATGAAATCTATTCGGACGCATGAACACAAAAAAAAAGAACAACGAAATGAAGAAGCGTCTGACTCTGTGATACACACAAGTATAGGCTCTCCAATTCTCATTCATTAGCCTAGTAGCCATGGTTTTTTTTCTTCTTTTCATTTTTGCGTGTGTGGTTTTTTTTCTTAAAAAAACAGTGTTTGTCAAGAATCATTCCCATAAAAGACATATAGGAACACAAATTAAAATTTAGCAAAAAAAAAGAGAGAGAGATTTACGTTTATGATCATTGTACATTTTCTTTTTCTTTTGTCGCAAACAAAAAACAACAACAACAATATTAAAGCAACAAATAGATATTTTTTGTTTTCTCACTTATTCAAATAAATCTTATTCATTTACACAAACACACACGTATGACTTTTCTTTTTGTTTGTTTGTCTATTGTGTTTTTTTCTTTTCTTACCATAATATGTTTCTTTGTCTTCTTTTTTTTTCTCCTTTTCTAATATCTATCTTTCACATATAGAAAACACTTCTTATTTCTTTCGTGCACTCGATGTGTTTGTTAAAAAACGACGATCGAATTTCTATATAACATACACACATACATATATATTATATACAATTAAAGTCAGTTTTTGCGTTCGATATGTTTCTTTTTTTTTTTTTTCGTTTCTTTTTTTTGTTCATTCTTCTTCTTCTTCCTGCTTTGTCTTCTGAAGATCTCATTATCATTAAAATAAAGAGAAAAGAAAACATGCATTAAGAAAACAAAATATATATGAATAAACGCGCAAAAAAGATAAAAGAAATCGATTAATTCTTTGAATTTGTAATCATTTTTTGTCATATTATAAGAAGTAAAATATTTGTCGATGCACCATTAAAAAAAAAGCATATGCATGACATTATTCGATAACTAGTTTTATTGAATGATTTCAAATCAATTAACGACGACTAAAGTTCTTACAAACAGCGAGTGCAACAAGTTCAATAGTGAAAAAGTTAAAACAGAAAAGGTATTTTTCTTTTATTATTAACTCAGGACAACAAATTATTTGTGTTGAAAATGAATAAAATAAAACTTCAGGATTATAATTATAGATAATAGTTTACGTTATTAACAAATATTTATAAAGCTAAGAGGCACAGTTAATTTATTTTTTTATAAATGATTTTACAGAACTGAATTTAAAATATATTAAACAATTTCATGCATACAAAATTTATTTACTAAATCTAACCAAGAGATAAAATATATATTGATTATCATGCAGATGTTTTTATTTACTTTTCTTTTATTTTTCATGTTATTTATATACATCATTTTCTTTTTTATTATCTTATTATAACACTCTCTTTAGTTTTCCTTTCGGCATTTTGTCTTTCAGGATGTTTTTGTATATTAATCTAAAGGATTCAACAACATATACGAAAAACAAGAAACAGACTTATCAGTTTGTCAATAATAATATCAATTGATTATGAGAATTCTTTCATTATTATTGTTATATCTTAATATCATACAATGAAAATAATCATTGAAGCAATATCGCTAACTAAAACCATAAAAAACAAAAGGTTATTTTGTAAAAAATGATCTAAGGGAGTTATGAAGTATAGGGATAAAATTTGGACTCTCAGAAACAGTAGCAGACGTCATTGATATACGATTTTCGATTGTATATCAATAGCATCTTGTTTTAATACACGAACTGCTTTCTTATTACATTTCCGAGGGATTAGATGAAGTAATTGTGAAATAACGTATCATAAAATAGATAGGATAAAGTAATCGTTCTATTATTAACAAGACCGACTACATGATGTTTCACATTTTAATCTCACAGGGATTGCATTAACAACTTTCATATTTTTTTCTATAAATAGAAATATTACTGTCTTTATATTAGTGTTTAAATTTTTCATCAAATGATACTCAAAAGTTTTCTACTGCTCCGAAAATTTTCTCAATTAACACTAATACTAAATCTAATATCAATAATATATCAGTATCAAAACAAATTGATCATGTATCTCAAATAAATTCCGATGAATCAACAACACTTGTTTCATGGAATTTATTTCCACGATCAAAACCTATTAATAAACAACAAGAAAAAACTATTCTTAATGAACACAATCCAAATTTAATTCTAACGAAACAAAATCTATTGAACCAAATTGATCAATCAAATTCAAAATCTGATTATATTGATTGGACAAATTCTCAATATCGTACATCATCTATAGAAACAACAACAATTAATAATCAATTAGATGCTATAAATTTTCTTCAAGAATATTTAGAACATGGAAATAGTGATGTTTTGATTGATTTACTTCATGAAATAGCACAGGAAATAAATATTGAGCAACATAATAATCAAAATACATATTCAGCTATAAATAATAATCATCTTCCTTTAACACCAATATTTAATTCCAATCTTCAATTATCAAATAATAAAGAAAAAAAGAATAAGTTAAATGTTTAAATTCATGAAATTCCGTGTTTTAGAATATTTTAATATTTTGTAGAAAAGAAAAATCTCCTGAAAAAGAAAAAAAAGATTCTCATGAAAATAAGCGTAAGTTATATTTTATTTATTTCCAAAATGTAAAGAAATAATTAATTTCCATTTTTTTTTGCTCTAGAAAAAAACGATGCTGTAAGTTTTTGAAGAAAATTACTTTTTCTTTTATTGAATATAATTAATTTTAGAAAAAAAAAGACAACGGTAATCAGTATTCTATGGTTTATTTTTCTTGAAATTTTAAAGTACTATCATTATTTAAGATAATCAATACACAAGTAACAAAACAAAAAAAAATAAACATAAAATAAAACAAATTGAAGAAACAACAACCACAACCACAACAACAACTGATTCAGATAATGTTGTAGATTCACCAGCCTTAATTAACCCAACACGTATAGATTTCAATAATCCTAAATCACCATCCTATTCTCCAGTAGAAACAACTGGATTTCAATCTTTTTCTATACCAGTACCACAGTCAGGTGGATTATCTGCAAATGGTCTTATTTCACCTGATTCATCTAATGCTCAAATTCCACAACAATCAAATAGCAAGTATCAATATTTAATATAAATCAATTGATTATTACTTTTTGCTTCTAAAATAGTTGCACATCTTTCTCAAGTTCAACAACAATTACAAACAAATCCTCAAAATTCATTTGTAAATAAAACTACACATTCACATAATATATCTGTACAACAACAGTTACAATCATTATCACAGATGGTAAAGTTTTTTTTTGATATTTGAACTAGTCATTTTTGAAAAAAATTATTCTAGGCACGAGATGGAGACGAAATTTTGATAACATTAAGTGTAAATGCATTAACTCAAAAACAACAAACAAATAATAATAATAATAATCAATATTATCAAGCATCTATTCAAAATAATAATCCGTTTGTTATAAAATTTTTTTTCCTTTCGAAATGATTATTAGATTCGATACTTTTAGTTATTCTTCGTCACAATCATACGATCAAATGATGCCACCGCCCACAGGAATTCTAATGCCACGTAATCTTGAAATTGTTGCAAAAGGTTAAAACTTTGTTCTCATGTTCTATTAACATGAGGGCCATCGATAAGGGACGGCTAGGTAAAGGGTGAAGATGGAGGTCGAGGTTATCTGAACGTTCAGACATTTAGTGTGAATATTTTCGTTTTTTTTACAGAACTTTTGACGAAACTTTAAAGCTTAGATTGTCTTGAAGAGCAGTTTTAGTTAGGAAAGTCAGTTGAATATGAATATGGTATTGAAATACTTCAAGATTATACTATAAAGACAGCTAGTTATCTTTTCGAGCAGCAATATGAACGTTGTTGGTTTTTCCGAGTGCCATTGGTAATGAACTTCAATTTTTGTTTTTGAATTTTTTCTGCTAGATAAAAATAACATGTGTTTAGAAAACAAAGACTTTGCGATAGGTTATATCTTTGTTTGTTGCTTATGAAATATGTTTATATTTCTATTTTTCATATATTTATTTAATGAAAAGGAAGTTGTATATTTGAATAAATGGACTCTTTTACAGGAAGTACTTTCTTTTTATACTGAACGTTCAGGAGGAAGGGAGAGGCTTGATGAAACCCGATAAAAGTGAATACAGAGTAGAGGACAGGTCAAAAAATGCGATTTTCAACTGAAAGTTCTTTATGGATGAGTCCTTAGTTTATGTTTGCCTTTGAATTTATTAATCAGAATAATGAATAAAATTGGTGATTAGATTATCAATATATTATTTTATTTCTCATATTCTAGGCTTTGCACGAGTACAAAATGAACATCTTCAACCTCCACCATTAAATCTATATACACAACAACAACAACCTCCCATGATGCAATCATATAGTCAGTCACCTTATACATTCGTTCATCCACCTTTTGTACCTCGTTATCCAATACCATGTCATTCGAGCAGTGGTCCTCCACAAATGCCTATTGGACCACCGATTCAACGTAAGTCTATGCTTTCTTTATTAATTGATTTGATCTATTTGAACTTTTAGCTATGTTTGCTCCACCTAATATGATGATGTCTGGTGGATTTGCTCGACCACTGAATGGTACTGATTTTACATCTAGTATGCGAAACAACGTTCATGCTGGTAAAATTTGGTTTTTTTTGTTGAATTATATTCATAAGCAGTCTTAATTTTAAGAAATTTTCTTTTAAAATGAACAGATCTATTCAGAGTATCGATTGCTTTTGTTTATAATTATTTCTTTAAATTTTAGTTCATAATCTATCGCATATAAATAATAGCAAATGTGATTATTTATGTCAATCATCATTAAACCAACCAGATTTTCGTGGACGACCATCTCCTGGTGTAATAATAAATCCATATTTTTCTAATCCACCTCCATCAATCAATTTCTCTGCTAAACAATCTTCGAAACATAAAGCAAAACATATATCAACAAAAAATAAATCTATCGAATAAATAATATAAATTCCGAAAATATAAATCGAAATTATTCATCTATCTATTAAGTTTTTTAATTTTTTTTATAACAAATAAATTTTTATTGAATTGTCATGTATACAAGTGACACCGGGTGTCTTCAGATAGAAAAAGAGAAAAGAAAGACGAAGATATATAATAACAAACAGAAAAAAAAATACAGCTAGAATTACATGTATATTAAAATATAGTTATGATTTTTCTTTTAATTTTTCCCATGTTGTTGCACCTAAAGCTTTGGCAAAATGATCATCAACAACTGATTCCGTTGTTGATGATGTTTTATCTTCATTGGATGGTGTTGTTAATGGCCAAAATTTGCCAAGTGATCGAGCAAAATGTTCTTCAATTGAATCGACTAAACATAAAAGAGACAATAATTTAGTTCGATTAAAATTGTTTTTTGTTTTTTTCTAAAATCAAACCTGGTGTTCGTTCTGTAGGTGAACTATTTGATGATGAATCTTCTGGTGTTAAAAATCCACCAGTAAATTTATTATAATTATTTCCAAGAGATTTTCGAAAATGTTCATCTATCGTTGTATGTGTTCCTTTTTGTTTGTCGAAAAATAGAATTATTTAAAAAATATGAATAAAACTTAATGAAATACCTTCAACTACTTTATAACCATATGTTTGATTTTGATATTGTTGTTCATATAATGTTCGATAATTATCAAGAAATTGTTGAGCAAGAACTTTTTGTGCCATAAGACATTCATAAGATGCTGGCGACGAAAATGTATTTTCATGTTGATTATTTGTTGAATTAGCCATTAAATATGCATATTGTTGTCGTAGTAATTCTAAATGAGGTGATGATGGTGGTGTTGATGTAACACCCGTTGGAAGATAAATTTGAAGTGGATCTTCTTGAGACATTGTTCTGAAAAAATAAAAAGATTCATTTTTAAGGATTGAAAAAAAGGAAAAATTAATTTTAGTTTTTAATGGAAAATATTATCTCAAGTGGGTTTTTTTCTTCATACATTTATAGAGATATATATTGCATATATGTTTACTTCAAATAACTCGCACAATTTTGTTCTTTTTGGATTTATAAGCAAACACTTAAAAAAAGCAAAAACAAAAATATGAATTTACTGTTTGATCGTTGTTGATCGATGTGTTGAATAAGTTTCATGTTGACCTCCATTTGAATTGTCAATATCAATTGTTGGTGTATCAATAATATAAGCACGACGTTTTTTTAATGGAAGATTTTTTGGTATCTGATTTTGATTGCACATTGAATTGTTGCTATTATTGTTTCCGTTCATTGTCAAAAATATTTCAAAAATTCTAAAAAATAAGAAAAAAAAATATAAAAAGTAATTTTTTAATTTCATACGCATTTATATCTTTTTCTCTTTGTATTCATTTTAAAAAGGCATCTACAAACTGAACATATAATGAAAATATATAATGATTGTATCTACATTATTGAAATGATTCTCATTCTTAACATAGTTTGATTAGAAAATATATGACCACGAATAGTATTCGTTCTTTTTTTTTTTATTCGTTTTATTGCTTTTTTTTGTCTTACTAAACATTTTAGATAAGGAAGAAAAAAAAAGAAGCTATTACGCATTCGTTACTGATAAAACAATATAACGAAAAAACTAGAATAAAAATTTTTTTTTATAAAAGTGTGAAAATAAAGTTATCCAACTACTGACCATATGTCGCCCTCTTTAAACGTTTTTCATAGATTTTTTCCTAGACGTTATAGTCCTGACGTCTGTTCTTATTCTTTTTCCTCTTACTTTATGGTTATGATATATGCGTATATTTTAGACTATAAATGCACAATAAATAATGCCATACCATATGTAACTAAGTATAAAAAAACAAGCGTCAAATATAACAAACATCAACAAAGCAATATAAAAATCCAATAATATTGCTGTTAATAATATGTAACAGCATGTTATTCACTTACACTCGATCTTGCAAAATAATATTAAATATAGTGAAAAAAGAAAAAAAAAGAAAAAAAGAAAGCAATCGATAAGGAAGATTGTATTTGTCATACTATAAACTATGACGGATATCAAACAACATATTTATTCGAGAACAAAAAGAAGAAAAGTTTTTTTTGCTTTTTTTTTAGAATAAAATGACGAATAAAGCAATTTTAAAATACAAATGGCATATAACGCATTTTTTTTATTCTCGTAACCGAAGAAGAATTCTTTTTTTGCTTCACTCAATTCTAAAAATACATCGTCTACTGTTTGCCTACTGTTAAAATGTTATTTTAATAAGTTTATGTAGAGTAACAAGTTGTGTTAGAATTTTTCTAGAAGAAAAAAAATGTCGAAGTTTTTATTTGAAAAAAGTGTACGAAAAATATCCTTACATATAGAGGGTTTCTTACCGTTGATTTTTTGCGTTGTTGCTCGATTGTTTGATAGACTAATAGACAGTCTCTCTATATATATAAATATGTCTGTGAGGAACTTATCGACAGCATAGCTGATTTTACGCATTCCATTTAACTATTCGGTTTTCATGTAATATACTTGCTATTAAAAAGACAAATAGTTTCGCTGCTCTCACTTTTTAATTTGAAGTATGTCTTTCATTAAAATTCCAATAGAGATGTGCCAACGATAAATCTTATCAATCGCATGCGTTAAAATTGCGCAAATAAAAAAATAATAACTAATATATTTTATTCATTTTTTTCAGCAGTGCGTCAATAAAAAAATTATTTGATTTATTAAAAAGAAAAATCACCATATAACATATATGAATGTGTTCATTATGAGTAAATAAGTAAAAAAATGCATGACCGATGAAGGTATGCTATGCTAAACAAATAGAAAGAGAGAGAAAGAAGAAGAAGAAGACGAAAAAAAAATCAGAATATGTCGACTATGCAATGACAAAAAATAAGTCTCTAATTTGAATGGTTCAATTATAATCGTCACACATTTTTTCGAATATTTTCTTTTTTTTTTTCATTATGTTTTTATTATTTATGAATAAATACATTAGAGAAAACGTTAAACAGCCGAAAAATATTGATAAAATGAATAGATAGCCCAGACGAAACCAACAAATCATTACATACATCAACATGATGACTAATTAATTATTTAGTTATTAGGAAGGATATCGTAAATATTGATGTAAATAAAGAATAAACATTAAAATTATAATTTAACACAATTATTTACCCAATATTAATTGATCTATAAACAGAATAATTAATACATGAAAAAAATCAAAATTACAAGTTTTTTTTCGAACCTAAGTGAAATCTGCCCTGGTTCATTATCTCGTCCCTATATCAAAATTATTGTTTTTTTTTTCAATACAATACAAAAGCAAAAAGAAAAAATAAATGAACTAACCAAATATTTCATAATATCATCAATGTGTGCTATTGGAAATGGAATCTTTGCTTTTCTTAATCCATTAAGGAATTGTTCATATGTAATTATTGATGTTGTTGTACGAGTTCCTTCATTTGGATTAAATATATCCGATAAAGCAATTGCATTTTCTTCACAATACATATTTATTAAATCTAAAAGATAATTCGTAAAATGTTCTACTGTTTGCCTTACTGGTCCAACATAACATCTTAATTTAGAATGATTTAAAAATAGTAAATCAATTTTTGATGTTTGTTTTGCCGTGATTGTTAAACCCTTAGAAGAAAAGAAAGAAAAATAAACAAAATCATATCTCGAACAAAAAAAGAAACATACTGTCAAATCAAGTTCTTCTAATGTAATATTATTCATTTGTGATAATGATTCTAACATTATCATTAAACAGCGTGTATCAATATGATTTCGTCCTAACTAAAAAAAAAAAAAAACAAAAGAAAAAAACATCAAAGAATCAAAAGTTGTTTTTGTTTTTTTGCTTTACTCGAAATATTTTTAATGATTGATTTGTTGCAGCAGATATGAGCATTTTATATATTTGAGAATCTTTTCCAGTTATTAATAAAGATGGATTTTCTTTAATTGTGGCATCATATCTACATATGAATTGATTACCATGTAAATTTAATTCACATAATGACATATTACGTGTTAAAGAAGTTGTTAGAGATTCAATTGTATCATTTGTAAAACTATTATATGATAAATCAAGTGATATCAATTTATTATTATCACCAATGGCTTTAGCTAAAGCTTTAGCACCCATTAAACGAATACTACACCAACTAATATCAAAATTAAGTAAAAAATTATTATCAGCTGAAAATACAAAAATTTAATTTTTTTTGGCTTTTTGTTAATTTAAAAAATCATTTACTTAGCCATTCAGCAACATATTTTCCTCCTATTTCATCTAATTGATTATGACTTATATTAAGATCTTTCAAATTTGGATGGTCCTATTTATAATTTTCTTTTTAAATACTATTATTATTTATAATAAAAATTATTTACCTCTAATTGTGAAAGTAAAAATTTAATATCATTAGCTGATAATTCATTTCCTATACGAAATAATAATGTGAAAATGAAATATCTAAGAAATTCTATTACAAACCAGCTACACTTAAAGTTTTTAGTTGAGCACATTGAGGAATAGCATCAGCTAATTTACGAATACCTTTTGTACCGAGATTATTAAATGAAAGATCCTAGAAAAAAAAATGTTCTAGTATTTGAGAGATTTGTTATTACATTTTATAAATATAACAAATGATGTAAAAATATTCGAAAAATCAAGAATGCCATGTTTAAAGTCATGTCACGAATAATAATGCTCTTTTTGTTTTTTTTTTGAAAGTACAAAGTCTAAAATATTCGTAAGAGATAACACAATCTACATTAAGACAATTTTCTCGGTATATACTTATAAGTAGGAAGAACATTCTAAAACTTCAAAGCTTGAATATCTCTTGTTGAAGATTAAAAATAATTTAGGTAACACTTATAAGCATTGTTTGAATATAATAATAGGGAAAAATATGGTTTAATAACTTGCGAACACAAGAAAAATATGCAAATGCTTGATAAATGAAAATGAAATGACTTCGAGTTAGAATGCAATTGAAGTTTTTTCTAGCAATATATAACATTTGAATATTATCTTTGTACATTTTAATTAATATAGTTTTACATGATTATGACGGACATCAACCATAGAAAATATGATAGAATGAATGATTCTTAGTGTGTGTTCATTTTCAATACATGTCTCGAATAATAAAAGTAGTAGTAATCCGTTCAGTTTGTGGAAATAATCAAAAGACATTCGCGAAAATATCTAATGCAATTTTGAAGTAAAAAAGCATTTCATCGCTGAGATTTTTCTTTTTCTTTTTTAGAAGAGAGTCTTGCAATTCAAAGGTGACGCTCGATTGTAAAATAGCTATATTAGAGAAGCTATTCAGAGCTAACACTTCACTTTCGTGTTGTAGATGAAGGAGAGTCAGAGCTACATTTTTGTAAAAGAATGAAACATCTATATTTCCAGAAACATCCGAGGAAAGAGATCTAAACTTGTTAGGTGATCATACATTTTTAGAAGTTCCTAATAATCATGATCGAGTAACGGAATACACAAAGAGTTAATAATATTATTAAAAAGAATTTTCTCTCATGCAATGTTTCTTAAATGAAATGTGGAATTTTACTGATCATCGACACAAAGTTTGTCTTAAATCTATAATGGAAATTAACGATGTATTAAAACACATATATTACATACATATTCCTCAATATATATATTTTCTGTAAAGATTTGATAGACATATGCCATTCCACCATTACCAATATTATTCGCTGATAAATTCAGTGATAAAACAGTGGTATTATGCTAAACATACGTTTTAGAAATTGAGAACAATATATTGAAATGAAAAAAAAAACTTACAATAAGACTAGCCGCTAATGCTGCACATCCACGTGGACCAAGTCCATAATTACGTAAATTAATTTCTGTTGTATTTAATGATCGAACAATGATTGAACAAGGACAAACATTGAAACGTGCACATGTTTCTTCATATATTTGTAGACATGATTTATCTAATGCTGGCACACTTTCTATTGAAAAGACAAAAGAATATATCAGATATGGACAAGATGCTCCGAAGCTCGGGATCAACACTATTCATCACGATTGATATCTCTTCCAATCGTGTAGAACTTGCTTCAAATGTGACACTCTCACGAGTCATATGTTCTAAAAGTTGATGCAAAAATTATTGAATTATGATCACTTCAATATTTTCTGTTACAATGTTGATAGTAAAACTAATCCCTATTTTTCGTACATAGCACAGCTTTCGAACACATAAATGTACAGAATAGACGAAGCATTAGTGAATTAAAAAAGTACTGAATATCTAGGACGGAGAATATTAGAGGTCATGAGAATCGTACAAGATGTTTCGAACTCCTTGACACCGCTAGAAAATGATATCTTATTTTTCGCTACTACAGGTATCATTAAATGTGAAACCAAAACCTAAAACGATTGATCCTGTTCATCACTAGGAGATAGATATATATATATAATTACAATTTTTTTTTCTGCAATGAACTCTATGCTTACCTTTTTCATGCTCTCCAATTAATCCATCATCCCATTCTTGCTTATCTAATTCAGCTGTTGGCAATGCTGATATTTTTTTTTTATTTCGAGAACTTAAACTTCTAACTTTCATTTCAGTATCTGATTCTGTTATTATAGGAAGTTCAAATTGATTTGAACGTTGTGAAAGTCTAGTTGGTTGAGATGTTACTTGTGCTAAACGTGTATAAGGATTTTCAATAATAGAAAATTGTCTTGATTCAATTATCGACTCAATAGCTGGATCACGCTTGACTGACACACTACCATAAGTATGTAAATGTTCATGTGGATTTCTGAATCGACCACGTCTACCATCACTATGTGCTGATGAACTTAATGATTTTGTTATTGGTGATCGAGCTGATTGACTTGTATGCGATGGATCAACAACATCTTTTTGATCAGTTTCGTTTTCAGCTAATTCTACTTGTGATTCTTCAATATCATCATCTTCAAAATAAGCATCATCACCTATTTCAGATGTTGGATCTTCAGAAATATCATTTAAACCCTAATTATTTGAAAAAACATAATGATTTTAAATAATAATAATAATAATCGTCCTCGGTGTTTTTATTTCTTTTACCTCAGATGGAAACATATTAAGAAGTTCTTTTTCTTCTATTCATATTTCGATTTCTTAAATTTATTCGAATGACAACAAAAAAGTTTGTCTGTAATGCATCCATAGTAATACTTATTATCGTTAGTTTTTGTTTGCTTGAGGTTGAATAAAAAAAAAACATATGAGAAAAAATATAACGATCTCGATGATGGATTTTCTTTCTTTCTCTTTCAATTTATGTTTTTTCAAAAAAAGTGAAGCATGTGTATTTCAAGTTTTCTTTTTAAAATTATTATGATTGAATCAGAAAAGAAAAAAATCTTTTGATCGACGCAAACACAGACGCAAAAAAACACTTTCTTTAAACAAAATATATTAAGAGATTTTTTTTTTTCTTTTATTCAAAAAACAACTGCTTATTAGAAACTAAAATTCAAAAACACAAAGGTACAAATCAATGAAGTTTTCGTATAATAGCTTGTGCAGAGCGACTTGTAATAATAGGTTGTGGAACAATAAACAATTGATTTTCTTGTTTCAATGAAGAAGAATTTATTAAAGACGGATGTAGTCGACGAAGTCCAGAATAAATTTCTTGTTGAAATAAATACAATTTTTCTGGTTGATCATTTAGACGAACAGATTTATGATAATATAAACGTATCAGTAATTGTGTCGATGAATCAGTTGAATTTTTTAGACGATCAATAAGATCAAGTAATGCTGGTTCAATACTATCATTTCTTACATTACATTGAATTGATGCTAAACAACGACGTCTCACAGGTGTCGAAGGTCGAGTTTTACTTTTTGAAATAACGTTTGGAGATGAGAGTGTAGTTGTCATGGTCATAATATTCGATAATATTCTACATTGCTCAAAGATGCAGTATTTATAGTGTTTTACATTCATTTATATCATAGGTAATTGATGTGATATCGATTTTAATTGATGCAAATATTCTCTAATTGATATGATGAAGTGAATAGACACGTGTTACATCATATTAAAGAAAGAATATCTTTTCTTTCTATTTCTCGGTTACTATAGAAAAAAATGTCATTTGTCTATGTTATTGAACTATTAAAAATAAATAAATTAGTATCGGTTTGAATACACATCGTTTAATTATTTGTTTTTTCGAGAAATCATACACTTAAACAATGAAGTAGATCTTCTAAAAAGAACAAATTTGTTTCCTAATAACTGCTAAGTTATGTTTTTGCTAGTTCTTTATGTAATTGAACACAAATGTCAACATATTTGAAAGTATTGGAATCGATTATGAAGAAGATCGTGATCATCAAGATGATGCTAACGAATACGTAATTCGATTTCTGATTATTATGCAAGTTACTTCCATTCCAATACATTGGGTTCGCTATAGAATACCGAGAAGAAGAAATACACTTCTTTCTTTTTTTTCTCACTCACTCTCTCTGTCTTTCCTATGTGTTTGATCTATCAAAAAAAAAGATTAGATCTATTGTAGTGAATGGTTGGATGATAATCATTTTCTTGAACTTGTCGGTAGCAAAGTAACTATATTCATAGTAATTTTCTCCGGAAGGCAGAAAATAAGGGCAAGAAATAGAAGAAATAAGATGAGAAAATTTTGACAAATATGGCAAGTTCATTACAAATCATTATTAACAACAAGGCATAAAGAAGATAGAAAAAAAAAGAAATGCAGATAAAAAAAAATGGGAAAAGAACGTTTCAGAGAAAATTAACGAATTGTATAGCAAATTCTTCCGGTGAAAATTTTCTGTCCTTCTCTCTGACTCTTTCGTTGCTCTAAAGATTTGTATATCTCTATGTCAATCTACACAATGATGACACTTGTTTAGGAAACTGGCCGCGAAATAATACATATATATCTACATTGATATAATAAAAATTGATGGAAAATTCCCTTAATAGCAGGTGACGACAACATACTATTTTCAACAAACTAGCAAGGGAATAGCGTGCGTATTTTATAACTGTATACAACTACAATAGAGTGACTTTCACAGTAATAGAAAGAACGACTACAGCAGATTTTAGCGCTCGTGTTAGTGTCAATTACCTATGCATGGCATGCTTGATACATCAATGTTAGATGCTGAAACAGGCAGTGCATCTACTACTGGTTTTACATATTCGGCACAATACGGTGTACGTCGTGCATCAGATCGAGCTGATGTTTATAGAACACAATTTGGTTCTTTAAGTGCTGATGAATATCTTACACCAATGATACAAACAAGTCAACGAAATGATGGAAATGTTGCTCGACGTCTTTCCAGATATTCATTTTTTATTCCTCCACAAACACTCGTACGTCGAGCTACAGATGGTATGTCAGTTTTAAAAAAAAATTATCTTGATTTTCTATGAAAATTTGATTGTAGAGAAATTTTTGAATTAATTTTCTGAACCAAATAGGACAAAAACAAAAGGAAGTCGTGACAATCAGTTAATAATATAGGTAGTAGAGAGTAAGGTGGCATCCGATTAATCTTCGATTGATAGCATATAAACATTGTCTCAAGATATAATGACGACTTTACGATCATTTTTATCATGTACAAACAGTTTTAGCTAATTTTATGGTCTGTCGCATGTGTCATAATAGAAAGCTAATTATAGCCTAAAGAGAAAAAAAGAGACAGAACAAAAAAAGACATAGCAATTTATCCTTTATATAAAATCGTTTTGCATCTATCTCTTGCTTTCATGTTTATTGATAGCTTCTTCTTTACCTTAATTACCACATGATAGAGAAGAAGCAATTTAGTAATTACTACACGCTAGTCAAAAGTTATATCTATTCAAGAGTGACATTTGCCGAAACGATGCCTGGCAAACTTTATCTATATATTTATGTAGTTGAGCACGCAAAGAGAGATTTACAGATGGAAAAAAAGTGTATTGTATATCTGTTTGTCTGTCCCATTCTTCGAGAGAGGAAATGTGCACGTTTCGCCAATTATAACGGGAAATCATTGGCATCGGACGAGCGTGTATATGACATTTTTCGCTTATATTTGATGACGATCGAAGAACAAATGGATCAGTAAGAAAATAAAAGAAAGAAGAAAAAAACCTATTCATCATAATGATGAGCCATCATAACGAAGAACGTGATGATTATCGTAATTCATCACGTCATAATCGACAAGATATTCAATATATAACAAATCTTCAAACACAATATATACCATCATCAAGGCGTAATATGGATCGACATTCTATAGCAGTTACTCATCTTCGCTCGGACGTATATGGTAAATTTTTTTAAGTGTCTTTTTTCTGATTTATTCATTCAACTGAATAGAAAAATCTAGATATGAGCTAATAATAAATCGATAATCGTCAATTTTCTTCTTGAATTGTTTTTTTTTATTAGCTTAAATGGAGGAAAATCATATATAGTTCACACTTCTTTTCTATTGTAAACATAAAGATTTATAGACAAGAATTGTAAATCTATGATTAAGAAACGACAAGTTAAATTCGCTTCACTTTTAGACCTCAAAGACAAACGTGAACAATCAGGTTACTTTTTTGGTGTACTTATTTTACTAAGTTATTTCCTTGTCATCATTACATTTCCATTATCATTATGTTTTTGTTTAAAAGTACGTATATTTATTTTTATTAATCAGAAAAAAAAGTGGAAAAGAACGATAAATTGTTTTATTTTAAATAAATTATAGGTTGTACAAGAATATGAACGAGCCGTAATTTTTCGACTAGGTCGGATCTTAGCTAATGGAGCACGTGGTAAGTAGTTGATTGAAAGTATATGTATGTAATTATATTGTCATATTGACTCGAACAGATAATAATTGATAATAGAGACTAGAAATTCATCCAGAGAAATCAATTTTCATAGATTTGAATCAAGATTTAAAATAAAAAGAAAACCCAAGAATATATTAGTATATATCTTCGTGTTTTTACGAAGATTCTAATATTAATATTTTTTTCCTTCAAGCAATGTATCATTTTAAAGATTCATTGTATAATGAGTATAAGAACACAATAAACAGATGGCATCTTTACTTTCAGATGAAAACATACATCTATGTGTAATAACAGATGTCTAATCGCTTGAAACTAATATCTATAGAGAAGATCGCTACATCGATTTAATAGTTTTCTTGACATAAGATTATATATGTTATTGTATTTAGGACCTGGACTCTTTTTTATCTTACCATGTATTGATACATACAGTAAAGTTGACCTTCGAACGGTTACTTTTGATGTTCCACCACAAGAAATCTTAACACGAGATAGTGTAACAGTAGCTGTTGATGCTGTTGTTTATTTTCGAATATTTAATGCTGTTATATCAATAACAAATGTTGAAGATGCAGCTAAATCCACAAAATTATTAGCAGCAACAACACTTCGAAATGTAATTAAATTGATTCAATTTTTGACATAAATTTTCTAATTGATTTTAGGTTTTGGGTACAAAAACACTTCATGAAATTCTTGCTGAACGTGATAAAATTGACACACTTATTCAAGTAGATGTTATTCTTGATAAATATCTTTCATTCGTTTTCTTTTTGTTTTCAAAATAGACCAGTCTTGATGAAGCTACTGATCCGTGGGGCGTTAAAGTTGAACGTGTTGAAGTAAAGGATGTTCGTTTACCTGTCGCTTTACAAAAAGCTATGGCAGCTGAAGCTGAAGCATCACGTGATGCACGTGCAAAAGTAATTGCAGCTGAAGGAGAAATGAAAGCAAGTCGAGGTTTAAAAGAAGCAGCCGATATTATTAATGAATCACCTGTAGCTTTACAATTAAGACTTTTACAAACTTTAACACAAATTGCTGCCGAACGTAATTCAACAATTGTCTTTCCTATACCTGTCGAAATTTTACAGGCTCTATCACGAAGTAAACATTAGTTTGTTTTTTCTATAAACTATACGTTGTGTCTTATAATAAACATAAATCCTATCTTTTTTGTATATTAATTCTTCGCTATGTGAAGAAACCATTTGAAGAAAATGATACATGTTATATTCATATCGATCAAAAAATTAGATTAATAGAATATCAATGTCATTTACACTTCTTGTAGAATATTTGTTTTCTTTGTTTACTTCCGTATACTTCATAATTTTGTTAATAATGTTTCAAAATTTCTTCGACTATGATATAACGTATGCAGAAGTATATGAAGGCTTTTAGGATTGTGTTCAATATCTTAGTGGTAGTGTCATTACATTTAATCAACCGATGTGAAGTATATCATGATCACTATTAATTTCATCAGCATCTATATGTTAATAATGGATAATTGTATGAAAATGAACCAAGCAGCAAATATTTGGATGATCAACAACAAATAAATTGCAGATTAATCCGTGATTTTTGGTTGTACAGAGAAGTTTTTGGATCATAATAAGATAAATCATTTTTATAATAAATTGAAACTGTTCTATCCAATCGTTTCCTTTCTGTTGAATCGTACAATTCATAGTCCCTGAAATAAACAGGTAATGAGTCAACTAGAGTTACTATACTGATTGAAAAGCCTTATGTCACAAGAAAAGAATACTATTGTTAAATTAATATGTACTACTGAGATATTATTCATCTTTGCATGAATAATTAGGAAGTATAGTAATCCTTTATTTTTCTTGTAAATTCGGTGTGTAGATTGCATTTAATGAAAACAATATTAGATCAATAATTATCGTTCGAGGACAGCACTAATTTATAGTATCACTATTGATTATATCATGATTATTTATGCTGTCAGCTATGTAAACAATCAGTTTATTACAATCAGGTCTAAATAAATGTTTAGATGTATATGAATTTATCCTATCTAATGCAGTGTCGATTGCATCATATCTAGATATTTATTGATAACTTTTCCGAATTCGTCTGCGTCTATCATAAGTTGACAGTAAGTTAGTGTGCCTGTATCAAATGGAATAAGCTCATTTATGTGAGGATGTGATTACCGGTGTCAACTCTTACTTATCATCACCAAGATGTTCGTACTACTCTCAATAAATATTTGCATTAGTGCAATATGATCTCATCTTGTCATAAATATAGATTTAATTGAGAATATGACTCTTGCTTGTAAGAAAAAAATTATTATAATCTGAATATTTTTTCGAGTTGAATTATCCCATCAATAATACAGTTGTTTTAAAATGATAAACATCAACACGTTTAAAAACGACAAAAAATATGTCATTGATATATGAAATTATGTCTGCAACTTTTATACATATAAAACAAAAAGGTGTTGAGCATTGAAAAAAAACCAATATGTTTTTGTGAATTTTAACAACTTCTCCATTTTTCTTTTTCAGACAAAACTCATCGCTTGAGGTGTAAACTTATCGGCTTACAGCTCTATTTACCGTCAATAGCAAAAATATCGTTGGTGTACAACGATAATTGAAAAAGAAAGTTCTCATCACACCATATTATTTTATACAGCAATATTGAATATTAAATATGACTAATCAGCGTCTGACATCTGTATTTTGTTTCGCATTCAACATCATTTTCCTCCTCTCGGTTGCTGACAAAAACAACGCACAATCCAAAATGAAGAATTACGCATTTTTGCGGTTATTGAGGTTTTTAATGTATAATTTATTATTGATTATTATTTAAGAGAATATGGCAAATTTATCATCACAACGTATTATTCCTGGCGACAAAAGACTCCGAAAATGTTGTCATTCGTGTCCACGTCTGATTTACGATGAACCATACATATTTCGTGTTCGAAGTGAACGTTCGCTACCACATTCATTTCCATGTAATACTTGTTTAAAAGAATCTATGCGACGACAACAACCACCTAAACCCAATATCCAATATCAAAAAAGATGTTCTCGTTTACCATTGAAACGTGTTGATTTCGAATATTCAAATCGACCGAGAACTGTTCCATCACAACGAACATCAAGTGATATAAATTGGGATAATTTTATGAGGAGAAAAAGTAAATATGGTAAGTATGATACGTGTTTCCATTTTTGTTGATATTGTTTTTTTTTGAATATTATTAGCTATTAAAACACCATATGCTCTATGTGATTTAACAAAATATGAACAAGATTCGGAAATTCGTCCACCATTTGTCAATTATGGTGGGCATTATGATGATAAACAATATGGACAAAAACGAACCTTTAATTCATTAGTTATACATGTATGATTAGTAGATAATATTTAATAAAATAAAAATATGATTTATTTTTAGCAACTGAAACATGACGAAGTTGATGAACAACGTTTAATAAGTTTATTTCGAGAACGACGTCTTCGTCGTGAAGCTGAAAATTATTTTCATGAAATACAACGGCGAAAATTTCATAACTATCGAGCATCACAAGATTAAAATAATTCAGAAACGCTTTTTTAACATTGAATTTTTAATTCTATTTTTTTTTGTTTTATTTTACACAGAAAATAAAAACATAGACACGGACTAGCCGTGACGATACAAAAACAAAAATACAATAAAAGCCAATTTCAACTATCACCAAGACTTTTAGCTAATATTTGTAAATTTTCTATTTCATCATTTTGTGCTGTTGTAAATCGTTCTGCTAATTTCCAAATCATTACAGCACCTGCACTATCTCCACATGCTAAAATATTTGGACTAGGAAAAAAAACAAAGATCATTCTTGTATATGAACTTTAATATATGATTTCTTACGTTTTATCATTAAACTCTAAAGCAATAATTGATGATCGTTTATCTGATGATGGCAATTCTTGAACAGGTATTGAAGGTAGAAGACTGTCTGATGTACCTTCTTGTGGTTCAAGATCATAAATTAATGTTCCACCATGTTCACTTCCAGCTGCTAAAACCAGAGGACGTGATGGTGACCAACGACAAGTAAATATTGCGCCTTGTGCTGGTGCAAAACAACGTCCAAAATTAGGCTAAATAGATAATTCAATTACATTTCTAAGGAAATAATTTTCAATGAAATTCTCTTACAAAAAGTTGTGAATAAATTCGAATTTGTCCATCATGTGCACTTGTAAGAAATAGATGTCGATTAAAAGGAGAAAAGCTAACAGAATAAATTGGACTATCATGTGATTGATATGACATTGTAATTGGATTTTTAGGTTGAACAGACATATCAGCAAGACCTTCTTCACCTATCATATATAATTTATGTGTAAATAAAATTACTCAATTAAATTCTATAAATTTACGTGATTGAACAGATGATACAGAATTAAGTGAACCTTTATATAAATGACCTGAATCACAACCGAAAATAAATGTTTCAGAATCTTCATTATTAAATGTAACACTGGTAACTAAATAATTGTTGATGAATTTTTATAAGTGATTATTAAAATTTTTCGTACCTCCCATTGGTTTTCCTGATGATTTACTACTACCTCCTTTAGTTGCAACAAAATAAGCATCAGTTAATTTTAAATTATTTTTACTAGGTAATGGATTCCATAGAAGAATTTTTCCATCTTGACTCGTTGATACAAGCTATTCAATGATTAACATTAGATATATATATATATATGCATATATCAGTAAGAAGAAATCAAAACTTTACAATAAACTTTTTCTTTGATAATTTTGGTTCACGTATCCATTGCAATGATGTTACTGAATCTCGATGTAAATCTTGTCGTTCCAAAATACGAGCTATTAATGAATCTTGTTCACGAAAATCCCAAACAAGTATTTCACCTGAAACGAATTACATATTAAAAAAATAACAAACAAAAGGAATACAAGATACAAACCATTATAAAGACCAGCAGCTACAATGCCTGGTCTTTCCGGATGACAAGCTATTGCTGTAACACATGTACTTGTTTCAACATTCATATCAGGTTTATTTGGATTGATTTTATATCGCTCAATATTCCATGAACATACAGCACCTTTATGCATACATAAACCTTCATGTGATGTACTTCCATAACCAACAACAATTGATGAACCATTAGCTGACCATGATAAACTTGTAACTTGTATTTCTTTATCAATTAAGATTTCTGGATAAGTTAATGTAAATAATTCTTGTGCTGTATCATCACCTGTATATCGCATTTTAATATGTCCTAGAATAGTATATCAATATATAGATTATATCTCTAAAAAGATAATTCGCTATACGAAGAATATTTGGACGTTCTAAATTTTCATCAAGATAATGTAAAACAATTGGCTCAATGCGTCCAAGAAATTTATTAAAACGATTCATATCAATATCTATATCATCATTAACAGGTTTTTCACCAAAATCTACCTGAATCTAATCGAAAATAGAAACATATGTATATCGAACAAAAAAAACGGAACGAATATTTTTTACTTCACGTTCTTTACGTTTTATACTTTGACAAGTAGCATCAGCAAGTTGTACTTCAAATTTAGTTTGCACACTTGCATTTACTGAATGACTATAATGAATTGAAATACATATTGAATGGATTAAAATTATTATTTTCTAGAGGATATACGAACACAGGATCTTTTTGAACGATTTCTTTACAAGAAATAACTGGTAATGTTTCATCATTGAATACAACTGGTTTTCGATTTATTTCAGAATCTGCTTCATCTCGATTTGATTTACTCATTTTAGAAAAACAATATTAAAAAGAAATAAAATATTTCATATACTTCCATAGTTGTTGTTGTTACTTTGACAACATAGTTATACCTTATTAGTGACATCTGTCTTTGTTAATATCTTCATTACATTTATATGTATATTGATGATATTTTAAATTGCTCTTCTTAGAGACGTTTCTTTTTCTTTTTTGTTTGAATATCTTTGATATTTCATATCGGGAATTATCATAAAATCATACGCAGAATTCAATTGTTGAAAAAACTGAAACATTTAATATCAGTAATTCTGGACGGAAATTATTTTCCAGAATCTTCTAGACCCAACCGGCCGTTTATCATTCAGCTAAGACTTAATAAATAACTAATAAAACAAATTAATGTCGGCTTTCTGTCTACAAGCATCACCTGTCACAACTACATATTGAATTTTCGATCATCTTAATGGAGAAACTATCATTCTGATATTTTGTTTTATCTGAAAACTTTTCTGTGCTTTTATCAATATGTAAGTTGCCACAAAAAAAACATCATTACATTTTAAATGCGTACTACTGCTGTCTGTCTATGTAAAATTCGCATGATTTTTCAATATCATAAAGCAATATGTAACTTTTTTCTTATATTTATTTTAGTTTATCTCATTATTATAGATTTTTAATCCACTAACATGTTCTACAACTACTTTAATAGCATTCATTTGACAGTTTTTAAAAATATCGATTAACTGACACATTTTTCGAAAGCACTAAGTTTCTCTCATGGCTAAACCATTTTCCTAATTGAAAAGCATTTCGAAATATTCTTCACAGATTCCATTCAAAAATCTTCAGCTAATACTTACGAATATTACAACCATATGACACATTGTTAAACTTTTCTCATGACCAAAATTTAATATTCATTTCATTTTGGAATAGACTCATCATTAGGTGAATATATTCATGGCTACATATATGCATGACTCAGAAATAAAACTTTACCGAGACTGCGAAAAAGAGAATTTGCTGAGACAGAGACTAAAAAACTTGGTTTCGCACATCTCAACTTATGACACATTTGGTATTATGAACACTTCAATTTATGACAATATGAAAAAACAAAATATGTCGATTAATTACATACTTTTGTTTCATATTTAGTCCTCATAAACAATCAAAACATGATTAGACTATTTATTTTATTTTATTTGTATTGTTTTTCGTTAAAAACTTTAATAAAAAGCATTTTTATTTCAAAACATCAATGTGAAAAAACATTGTTTTCTTTCTATAAAAATATTTCCAATAAATTATAAATATTCCTGGATATAGCTAAATTATAGAAGTCGTTATCTGATAGTGTCAACAGAGACTAATGCTTCTAACAAAAAACACCAACACTTATTTATATATATATATATATATCACATAGTTAACAATATGAATCGATAGTTATAAAAATGTTGTCTGATTTCTCTTGAGATGTATGTTGGTTTTCATTCGTAATTATTGTATTCATATCAAGATTTTGTTGAAATGTAAAACCTTCTTTGGATAGTTTTATTAAATTGAGTGGTGCAAAGTGATATGGAAAAAATTGTAGAATAATTAATAAATCACATAAATAAGCTGAAACTAATTCACTAACAGCTGATATTTGTTCATAAAAGTGTATTTTTTCAGCAAAATAAAGCCATTCTGTAGCAACTGTTAATGTAACAGTTGCAACAAATAAATATAACGTTAATTTAATCCATACACCTCGAAAACGTACGTACGAATCAGAAAAAAATTCAAATAATAAATAAAAAGCAATCGAATTTTGCGTTACTGTTATATATTTTTTACTTATAAAAAATGGTAAAAACACAGCTAAAATAATTTCTAATCGAGACATAAAATGAAATAAATGTTTATTTTCAACAATAAAATTTATATGATATTTCTTTATAACTCGACAATAAATTAACATTATTGTAAATATAAATTCAAGTAAACTCCAGAAAATATAATCTATTGTAGAAAATAAATCCTTTTTTAAGATAAATGTTATCATATAAATTATTGTACCAATTTCACTTAATAGACATAATAAAATATAATATATTAAAAGTGATACACGTCTCTTAATTGGTGAACAATAACGAAGATATGCAAAAACAATTAAAATTGTTGAACATAAACCTTCATAACCGCTATTACCAGAACGATGTGTTAAGTAATAAAATGCATCAAATATATAAGCAGCTTGAGCCAATATAGGTAAAATAACCATAGACCAAAGAAAAAAATTATCTTGTCCTTCATCAGATTGTTTTTCTGACAAACGAAGTATATTAACCATAGTTGTGTTATTTTATTTAAACGTTTTTCTTCATACATCATATAATGTGCGTATATATATATACATACATACATGTATGCTACTATAACATAATCTTTTTATTGTCTTTACAGAAAGTCACTCATCCGTGCATTCATGAGTGATATACTATTCATCATCAAAATAACGAACATGACTCAGTATATTGACGTTTACAAATGATGAATTAGTACTACGTGGGGAATTATTAACTGGGAACATTCAAATTATTTTTCTTCCTTTAGATGATATATTAAAAGTATCTACGTATGTTCTACCTTGTAGATTTTATCGTCAAACTGATGATTTTTTTATGCTTATTTATAAATAGAAAAATATTTTATAATATCGTCGAAATTTCAAACGTCATCCAACAAATTAGTCATTTATATCAATTGATTTCGAATCGAATCTATGCTCAAATGTTCACATAAAAAATGTACTCTAGATTTCTCCGTTGAGAAATGGTTTCTTCTGTGAAAATATTCCTCATTACAATTGTTATTTTTTAAACACATGTTACTGGAAACAAAAAATGTCTGTAATCGAAATATACGTTGATAGGTATTCAAGTTATTTCTATAGAGGATTTATTTTTATATGGAATGAATGGAGTAAGAAAGAGGGTGTGGGTGTGGGTATGTGGGTGAGTGTGGGTCTGGGTGTGTGATGTGGGTGTGGTTGGGTGTAGATGGGTGTGGGTGTGAATGTGGGTGTAGATGGTGTGGGGTGTGGGGTGTGGATGTGTTGTTGTGGGTTGGATGTGGATGTGTTGTTGTGGGTTAGATGTGGATGTGGGTGTGGGTGAGGGTGCGCTGTGAGGGAGAGAATGTGAAGCGAGGGTTGTGGTGTGGGAGTGGGTGCAGCGTGAGGGTGTGAGTGTGGATGTGGACATATCATCGATCTATACCGGTGTCCACCAACACCCACACTGCTATAAAAATAAGAGCTATATGTATAGTAAAATCCTCATTACTACGACTGACAGTAATTAGTTGTATTTTACGTAGAAACAAAGTGTTCAGTAAATTCTTTTCTTATGACAAAAGATATCGTTTGTGTTGTCTTGTCGAAATAGGAAAACAACATTTTTAATAGAGAATATTTATTATTGAGACAAGAGAAACTCGAAATTTATTTTCTGTGAAAATCAAGTTGAAATTCTTGTTAAAACTTCAACATTAAATTCGACTTTTCCTCGTCTCTTTATACCGAGTTTCAAATCAAAAATGAAAAAGAAACAAAAGTAAATATTTGTTGATCATTTTCAACCCGTGTCGATTTGATTTTAGATGAAAGGATTTAATTTCTGAACGAGAAATTTTAATAATTGCTTATCGTAAGTGTTGTCAAGGAATGTTATTTCCCACTTTCATTCGATAATTAATGAGAGTTTTTTATGATTTGTTTTCAAAAATATAGAATAAAACTATAGACAATGATTAAGTTGTCCTATTGTTGATGTTTGCTATTTCTTTGTTGAATAGATCATTGATAATGTCAAGATTTGCTTCAGGTCGTTTTTTTTTGCAAAATAAAAATTCCTTTATTGTGTCTGTCTCATATTGACAAGACTTCTTATCAAAAAAGATCAAATGTGTATCGACTTTGATAAGAGATTTTCGACTATTCATTAATTCTTATCGTATAGGCAATAAAAATCAATCCTATGATGAAGAGATAAAATACAAATAACCAATTATTTTGTCTATTCACTATTATTAATTGATTAATAATTGATTATTCAAACAAGAGTAGAATTGTAAATGTTAATCTCATTGATGACTCTCTTTTGAAGGCCAACAACTGGATTCAAGTGTGGGTGGATGCGGGTTTGGCTGTTTCTCTTTTCGAGTTACACTTATACTCACACTCTCGCTTTGGTCTCATAATTGATCTTTGTTCGAAAATTTTCTCGGCTGTTGTTCTTCTGATTGAAAACTACCGGATAAAATGCTGCACATTCGAATTTTTCTTTGTATTGAATATCAAATAAATGATTGTTTTCACAGAGGAATATAGAATATGTCTTGTCATTACCCATATCGTTGTGTTGCAGCGACACCCTCACGCAATGTTTTCAATTTCAGCGAATCAGTTGTCGTAGAATTCTACTTCCGAGAGGCAACCATTTTAGTATTTGTTGCATTTGAAACGAACAATCCTGTTTTTTTCTTTTCTCTTCTGCTTCGTTTTGCATCGCAAGTAAAAAATGTAGGATCCTTTTTTAATATTATTTTATCTTCTGTTTGCACAACATCGTCACTTCTCCCAACATGTCTTTCGTGCGAAACAACAAAACAAAAATTTCATGAAATTGCGAGTGAGAAATTTATATGTAGGTGAAACTGAATCTGTTGAACATACATATCTTCTGTTATAGAGATCAAGCATTTACTCAGACGTGAAATTAAGTTAAGATTCATTTTTTAAATCTCAATCTCGATGACGAATACTCAGCAGTCATCATTTCATTTTGTACCTTTAAATGTTAACGAATCAGTTTATGATTAATATTAAGTTTAAGGTTGTCTACTTAACACGTAATTGACATAAAGTTTAGTTTAAACTAGCGAGAACCCGTGCATACTGCACGGCTGTTTTGTCCTTTAACGCATGACCTCAGACATTTAACTTTTCATCCGGTAAAATACATACAGACACTCTATATTATGTATATAGACAGATAGTCCTACGGCCTCATACTCTCATATCGCACATATGTTTATAGGCAATGTAGCCTTCGACCTTATAGCCTTATATTCCTTGCAGTCGGGTGTGGGTGTGGGTGTGTGGTGTGTGATGTGGGTGTGGGTGTAGGTGTGGGTGTGTGATGTGGGTGTGGGTCTGGGTGTGGGTGTGGCTGGGTGTGGGTGTGTGGGTGTGTGGGTGGGGTGTGTGGGTGTGGGTGTGGGGTGGGGTGTGAGGGTGTGGGTGTGGATGGGTGTGCGTGTGGGTGGGGGTGTAGAGATCAGTCTTTTTCAGCCCACACCCACACCCTTAAATAATTCAACTTATCCATTCCTAAAATATTTCCTATTCAAAAAAAAACAATATACCTTCTGTGTACCTTGAACAGGGTTTATTTTAACGTTTTTTATCTGTTTTCTCATAAGTCATTTGATTACAGAAGAAAGATGCCATATTCTTTATCTGTATTCTATCAATAAGATTCGATTTGAATAACTCGATAATTCTACTAATTACAGTAGATTAAATTAATTTTATATGTTAATTTTTTTTAATTCTCACTGATTCAATCGGCTTATCTATTGGTAAGACATAATCAAATCGGAAAGTATAAAAGTGATTTGTTCTAGTAACTAGAAGAAAGGTTTTATTCAATAAATATGTATCTATTTCCAGAGATTAAATATAACTTAAATCATGTAACATCTTATGCAAATTGATAATCTAACAATGGTAGTTAATAAAATCCATTGATTTTCTTATTGATTATATTTACAAAATAAATTATAAGTATTTTACTCGCAATCACTTATTTTATTTTATTTTATTTTTTTTCATGAAGTGTTAATATGATTACAATTGGAAAAGAAAAAATGAAATCAGGTGAAGACAATTGTGAAATAGACATATATTCTACGGAATAGTTCAACAAATTAAAAAAAATTACATCAGTATGAAAATTTCTTCCGTTTAAATGATTTATTCGAAAATTTCTATATTGATTCAAGAAAGAAAAGTCGAAACTGATATAGAATATAGAAGTCGAAATAAAGGATGGATTTCTATCAGTTTGTTTAAATAAAATAAAAAAAATCTAATCAATGATAGTGTTTATGGAGCGGAGTACGATTGTGCTTATTTAAAATGAAGCATATTAAGAATAAATCAGCATAATAATTATTTAAATAATTGATTTAAAATGAATAAATAGATATGAAAATGTCTGAAGCCGATATAGACTCTTCTCACAAATAAACAATTCGTTTTAGCTAAAATAAAAATACAGAAGATATAAAACGGCACAAGAACTTTTTCTTTAAAGAAATAAATGAGAAAAATTCTACATGGAAATATTTAAAGAGATTATTTTTATGTTGTCGTTTTATTTGTTAGACGAACTGATAAACTGACATATACTAATTATGATAGAAGCAGAGATTGTCAATGTAAGGGTATCGATTAATAGTATATCAATCATATTTAGTTTATCCCTAACATATTTATTTAGTCGTTCGAATAATCTATAAATATGTTCAACTATTAATAGAATATAATTTATATTTAATCATGTTTATCGAGTTATTATTTATCTTGAACCTTATATAAAACGTGATCTATCATTTATAGAATATTGACCCACTATTAAAACCCTTTCGAAATCCATTCAAATATTTCTTTTTTGTTTTTTCTTTAAAATTCAATAATCTATCTGATATGTTACTTTTTACTAATGGTAACAAACTCATTGAAGCATGTTTCTTGTTGCCTAATATATATTTTTATGAAATTATTAAAGACAATTTGAATAATTTTATCTGCACCAATAACTGCAGTTATGTTATGATTTTGAAATGATCGACCTCTTACATTTATCCACTAAAATTCATAATTACTTAATTCTTGTATTTTCTATATATGACATAACAGAGCGTCATCTTATAAGACTAGTTTATATATATGTCAGCGTCCAAACTGAGATTACGTCCAATCTCAGATTGGCCTAGGCGAATGTCGGATCCTAGATTGGACGCGTCCAATCTCGGATTCACGCAATTCTGTTCATTAAAATATCAATTACACTTTAGACAGACCTTAGATTCGAACTTTTTTTTTTGAGTTATGTTCACACAATGCCAGTTTGTTTGGCACAATCGTCATTTGGCAGATTTGAATAGAATTTTAGGAGTTATGAATAAATTTCTAGAGAACAACAACTTTTGTGAAAAACTTTTATTACATTTTTGAGTCTAAATATAGCTTCTTCCTAAATGCTTGTAATACTTAAAACGGCATTGTGTGAACATAATTTCAAAAAAAAGTTTGACTCCAAGGTCTGTCTAAAGTGTAATTGATATTTTAATGAACAGAATTACGTGAATCCGAGATTGGACGCGTCCAATCTCGGATCCGATATTCGCCTAGGCCAATCTGAGATTGGACGTAATCTCAGTTTGGACGCTGACATATATATTTAATTAATAACCAATCAGCATTTTTGGTAGCTTTGGCTTCGATTTTCACCGACCGACCGTTCATCCATTTATTATTACAATTATTATTGCTCACAGTGAAAATGTCTTATATTATTATTACACCAAAATATATTAAAGTTGGTTGTGATAACCAAATTTTAGTTTCTGTTGCTACTGCATATCAACTAGTTCGAAATTTTCGATCTCGTGCCGGCTCGATAAAAATTACATCATTCGAAAGAGCAGAAAAAACTGAGTATGGTGTGATAATTTTCTCGGAGACGTACTCCCAAGTCCTCAGCAAAATTTTTCAAAATACTTTTCCCAGCAGAAATGGCAAGGATATTTCGTTTTCTCTATAATTCTATGAATCATCGTTCTCTTCAGATCAAGATGAACGTATACGTTCATCTTGATCTGAAGAGAACGATGAAAACGAAAGAACGATGATTCATAGAATTATAGAGAAAACGAAATATCCTTGCCATTTCTGCTGGGAAAAGTATTTTAAAAAATTTTGCTGAGGACTTGGGAGTACCTCTCCGAGAAAATCATCACACCATACTCAGTTTTTTCTGCTCTTTCGAATGATGTAATTTTTATCGAGTCGGCACGAGATCGAAAATTTCGAACCAGTTGATATGGTTCTGATCCAGTAGACATTAAATTTGATTTAATCGTGAATCAACTGCATATTGAAAATAAAATTATATGTACAACAGGTAAAATTTCTTTTCTTTTCAATAAACAAAAGAAAAAATATTCTTCTTTTCCTAGGTGAAACACATAATGTTATATTAGCTGTTTCAAAAAAATTTCCAATTGGTCTTGGTAAATTAATTATAACTGGTACTGGTGGTCTTAATTTTGAAGAAAAACGTGATATTATTGTATATGATAATTGTCATGTTATTCTTGTACAAACATCATCATCAACTTATCGTCCACATGATACAATGGAAATTCGTGTTGTTGTCACTAATGAAAATCTTATTCCAATTGAATATGGTGAACTTATTGTTGAAATTTATGTAAATTTTTATTTATTTATTTTTATTGAAAAATATTTTCTTTTCATTGTAGGATGCTGCTTTTAAACTTGTTGGTGAATTTCCAAATGTTCCTATTCATTCAGGTCTTACTAAAGTTCTTCGATATCCACTTGCTGAACATGTTAATGTTGGTACATGGCTTGTTTCAGCTACAATTGGAAATACAACATCATCTATTGAAGTTATTGTCTCATGTCCATTAATACCATCATTTGATGTTAATGCTATTTTTCAACGATTTCTTCTTCGTATAGATGAAACACTTCGTGGTGTTATTAAAACCAATGATGATCATAATGAACCAATATTTGGTCCTGCTATAATTGCTATAGGTGAATTAACTGAACAAGACATTAAATCAAAAATGAAAATGGGATTAAAAGAAGTTAAACCCAAAATTGAAGAATGGTGTAAATGAAAATCACTTCAATTTGAAATAGCTGGTCGTATTGAATTAAATTATGATCTTTTATCATTATTTAATATTGATATAACGAAAGCTATTTATATTCAAGTTTACATTCAAGTAACTGATCTTATTTCTGGTCAAGATCGTATTATTCATTACATGATTCCAATCTTTACACATGATATTCTCTATGATATTCGACCACTTGAATTTGAAATTGGTGTTAAAAATGAATTTCAAATTATTGCTAAACGTCCAGATGGTAAACCAATTGAAATGAAAAATATTATTGTTACTGGTACAATGATAATGGATGATGAATATGGTAAAAAACATGTTGAAGAAGTAGTTGAAATTAAAGATTTCTGTAAACGGTATGTTAAATTAAATTGAATAATTTAAAAAAAAACATAATATTCTTTATTTTAGTGATCGTAATGATATCGGTTTCTTCAATCTTGAGATTCCTAAAAATTGTATCGGTGTTCTTATGGCTGTAAGAATTTCGTTATTATTATTATTATTATTATTATTTTCTTTTTTTTTCCTATTTTTATTTTTATTTAGATAACATCATTAGGTGAAGATGGTAAAATGCGTCATTATCGTATACATGCTCCATACTATGGGCTATTTAATTTCAGTCTGAATTTATCAAATAAAAATAATACTTGATTTCAAACTGAAACGTGAGTCTAGGAGTGAGGGGGGGGGAGTGACTGAGGGTGTGGGTGTTGGTCTGGGACCCACACACACACCCACACCCATGGTGCGGGTGTGGGCGCGCGAGTGAGGGTGAGGGTGTGCTTGTGGTTTTGTGTACTATAGGCTTTAGTCCCCTGCACAAGGGACTAAGCGGGGACTAAGCTTTTTGTGGGGGGGACTAAGGGGGACTTTGCAGGACTAGGGGGGACTAAGGGTTTTTAGTGGGACTACGTAGTATCAAACGAAAAAAGTTTGATTCGGAAGAAGTTGGTGCGGTTTTTTTGATTTTAGAATTCAGTTTGAAATAAAAAAGCCCATAGACTCACATGCTCTTCCATTTATGCCAAAACGTCGTCGTCATGGTGCTAAATTATCTATTGAACTTTTACCATCAACAGTAGCTCCATTTAATACAAATGATACAGATGTTAATGTTCCAGTTATTAGTTCACCAGATTCAACAGTTGGTCGTACATCAAATTTTTATATTCAATTAATTCCATCAAAATCTGTAGAAAATTTCGAACGATTACTTATGTCATATGTTATTATGACTAATGGTCGTATAACATTTACTGGAAAATTTTATGCTAAATCAATAAAAGAATGTCCAACAACACCACTTTGTTCAATTAAATCAGAAGAAGAAAAACCATTAGTTTGTGTATTTAAAGGTATTTTACCAATTTTAATAACACTTGATATGATGCCATATTCAACATTACTTGTTTACACATTTCAACCAACATTCGATTTTTATGTTGTTGAATCATATCGTTTTTCAGTTGCTGATCTTTTTCAAAGTTCATTAAAATTAAATGCAACAATTGTTCCATTTATGCCAACTGAAAAAATTATTGAAAATGATAGTTTTATGAAAGAAATGAATGTTAAACCAATATATATTTCAAATAAAATACAAGAAAAAACACGTGTTGAACTTTCATTTACTGGTGTACCTGGTTCAACAGTTGGTCTTAATGTTTTTGAATACGATGCAGTATTACAAGGTTGACCAAATGAAATAATTAAAGAACGATTATTTAAACATTTAACAACATATGAAGAACAAATGATATTTAATTTAAATTATTTTACTTTAATTTCAATTTTAGAGTTATACAGGTCGTGATTTAATTCGAAAGATGATTTTTGGTGTTAATTCATCATCATATGATTTATCAGTAGTTGAAGGTGATGATATTTATATAACATCAAATATGGAACAATTTTATGATGATGAACAAATTCGACGATCAATATTATCATCATCCTATAAATTTGGTACGTCATTATGGTTTAATAAAATGAATTCAAAATTATATAATATTTCACAAGAAGCATTTACATTTATGCGATCAGGATTAACAATTATTTCTGATTTTGAATGGTTACGTATTCCAAAAGATATAGAATATGAAAATTTATCGAAATTATTTTGGAAATTTGATGAAAAATTAACAATGTTTATGAATGATTATACATTTAATATTCGTGATGAAGCTCGACAATTACTTGAAGAATATATTATTCAAGCTGATTTATCTATGATTCCACCATCAATTACGCTTAAAGATCAATCTCATATGAGTTATTATCGTTCAGTCTTCTTCAATACAAGTGATATTAAATCTGAAGGTATTGGTAAAGTTCTTCTTCCACGAATAAAACCATATTCAATATGGCTTGCAACTGGAATTGCTCTTAATAAAAAATCAGGTTTATCTATTGCTCAACCAATTTATTTACCAAATAATACCGGCCTTTTTGTTCTCGGTAATTGTCCAAAACAAGTTAATATTGATGAACATGCTCTTTTAACATATGGTATTAATAATTATCTTGGTAAAGATTTAACAAATGTTATGCTTCGTATTCGTACTTCATCTGATTTTGAACTTTTTGAAGAATCAAAACCAGAACATGTTGTATCAAGTATTGATAAAAATTATACACTTACAATTCCATTACTTAAATCATTTGGTGTTGAAACACGTCATATGGTTTTGTACCAAAACGTACTGGTATTATTCAAATAATCATTGAAGTTGAATCGGAATTTGGTGGTGATTATGAAATTTTAACAATTTTTGTAAATGAATCAAGTATTGAACGTAAACAATTATCAGTACATTTTTTTGATTTAATAAACGAAAAGAAGATTTATAGTCCAATTGTTGAAAAAATAACTCCAACATCAACTCTTCGTTCAGTTCAATTTTCTGTCTCAAATATATTTATTATTATCAAAACATTTTAATTAAGTTTTTTTTAATTTAAATTTAGCTACTGCTTTTAATTATTTTATTAAACGATATACAACAGAAACAAATACATTAGTTGGTATTGATAGTGTTATTGTTTGTCTTTATCGTTTACTTGGTCTTCGTCATTATTTACGTGAAATAATGCAAACTGAATTACCAATCTTTGATATGGCAGCTGATAATATAGGAAAAGCTTATCAAACACTTCAACTTTATAATAATAATGATGGTTCATATTCATTTATATCTGATAAAGGTACACAATATTCATCACTTTATTTAACATCATTAGCATTTGGTGCTATGATTTCACCAATGATGTCATTTCGTGATAATGTTACACTTAATCGTACATTAAATTGGATATTATCTCATCAAGAAGAAGATGGTTCATTTAATGATAATGATCCATTTTTTTCATCATTACGGATTCTGTGCTAGTAAATTTCATCGAGAATCATTAACAGCTATTGTTTTATATTCTTTAACACATGATTTTTTCATTGAATTCTATGCCAGAATTTATTCGTCGTCGTTTATGTTATGGACCAAAGAATGTAATAATGCGTGCTCAACATTATTTAGAAAAACATATTTCAAATGTTAAAGCACATTTATTAAGAGCATTATGTCAAATTGCTATCATTCAAAATTTCGATTTGGAAATTGGCTTACGTTAAAAATTTTCTCACAGTGTTATAAATACAAAATTAAAAAATGTACAATATGATTCAAAATATATTCAATGTAATGAAAAAAATGACATTTGTTGAAGAACTATTACTAAATAAAATGATCATGTTACTTTATTTCCATCTTGGTGATGATAAAACAGGTAAAAATATAGCTACCTGGATATTTAATCAAATTCCAGCTGAAAAAAATTATTATAAAATATTAGATGCTGTATTTGGTACTCAAGTTTATCTTCAACTGAATCGTTATGTAGGGAAAAATTGTCAAGTGGAAAATTTTTCGATTAAAATTGATGTTTCATCTAATAATGATGAAAAACTTTTTTTCGTTAATTCAGAAAATATAAATACAACACAAATATATCAAATAGAATTATCAGTTAATGGAATTATTTATAAAATAAATGGTATTGGTTGTGTATATGTTGTTATTGAGAAAATATATACTGAAGAAGATCAACAAATAGTTAAGTCCATTTACATTAACACAACAACTGAAACCAATGCCATGGCTAAATGGAATCGAACCTAAAACATGTGTAACATATACACCAAAATTAACAAATCAATTATTAACAACAAATTTAAATAGTATTTTTGTTATTGATACAGAAATTCCATCCGGTAAAAAAAAATTATTTTATTTAAAAAAATAAGCTAAATTTTTTTTTAGGTATGTGTCTTACTGATCGTCAAATTGAATTTTTAAGTAAAGTTCAAAATATTTTCAAAATTGAATATAATCCACATCGTAACAAACTGATAGTTCAAATCAAAAACGTGTTTTTTAATGTTATTTTAGTTTCCTTTTTTAACCCCTTATTTATTTCGATTAGTGACATGAACATTGGAATTCTTATACTCAGTTTATTATTTTTCTTTTTTTTTCTAGGAACTTATTCAAAAAAAAAGTACATTTGGGCCTTCAACTTGGATATATTGGGAAAAGACAGCGTTAAAAAAATTATTGTTGTATTTTAAAAAATCTTCTTTTCTTTTAATAAAAATCAAAAGTTAAACAAGTCTTTTTTTTTAATAATTACATCGAAAAAGAAAAAAATATTAATAGTATTAGATAAAACTGACCTAGAGGGTGTGGGTGGGTGTGGGTGTGGATGCGGGGCGTGTATGAATGAAAGTAAGACTATTATGCACACCCACACCCTTTGTTGAAAATTTTTGAGGACTTAACATAAAAATGGAGAACAAAGGAGGAGTCCCATTTTGTTGATTTATTATAGATTTCAACTGTTTGAAAATTATCATAAATATTATCTCTAATAATATGAGCTGATGTGTATTTCAAACAGAGTCGATTTATAATAACAAGTAACATCAACTTGCTTCTGAATACATTAATACTTTAAAAACAAATCCAATCAAGCTTTTGGTCAGAAGAAAACTGAGGAGAGAAGGGACAGGAGTAGCTTTCACATAAATTTTAAACCATGTACGATTTTTTGCTATATTTCAGCCTCTCAGAATTTTCAAGACAAAGAGGAGCCATGAATTTAAGGGTGTGGGTGTTTTAATGGTTCTTTTGTTTATTGAAACATAATACAAATTGTTGAAATTGTTTAATGTCTTAGACAAGATCACGATGAAAAAATGATCCATGACCATGTGAAATCACATATGGTCATTTTGTTCCTTCCATTTGGAATTGTCAGGCAATATTCGAGTTCGGCAACAGCTTTTTGAACAAACCAACAGATGCTTCGCATGAAAGATAACTGTATTCATGATCTATTACATCTACATGCTGTAATGTTTTATCACATGTCACCTGACCTGAAAAACTAATATTTTTCATTTGAAAGGTGAAACGAAGAATCGACAATCGAAATTTCGAAATTAGAATTGGGATAGTATTGTCACATTTCCAGTGCTTTCTAAATTATTCCGGAACTTCAATAGTAGTACACTTCATGTGGTATTTAATAGCTCGAATCTCGGACCATAAAATACCTAATGAAATTTATTATTGTCGAAATTTCGAAGGAATTCAGATAGTGCTGAAAATTAGACAATATTGTCCAAATTCTGATTGTTCATTCTCCAATAAACCATTTGAGAAGAAAGCACCATGGGAATAGTTGACGATGAAGAACGTCCTTGCGACTGAGTAAGAGTTAGTTCAGTTTGAACAATAAATATATCATTTTTGTTTTAACAATCGTAAATGATCGCGATGTTTTTTATTGTTCATATGGAGTCCAACAGACTGCCAGTCTTTATTTCAACAACACAAATCATCGCTTTTACATAATGTGTAGACGAATTGGCACCTTCACTTTGATACAAAATACCCTCAATATCTACTTTTACCAATCATAAAGGGCTAAATTTCGTAGTATAATAAGACATTAGACGAAAAGATAGTTATCCAAAAATGTTTTTCAGTTTAAAACATTTACTAATCTAATGATTCTTCAGTTTAAGCGGCACGAAGGAGGAAAAAGAGGAGATACGTAGAAAAAGGAAGAGAAGAAGGATATACTTAGGAAAAAAGAAGAAAAAGCAGAAGCATTCACATGTCAGAATAAAACTACAAAAAAGGATTTCAATGTTTATTTAGAATCAGCTATTTCACGATATTCTTTTGTTGTACAGGAACAGGGCAATTTTCAAATATTTCTTTTTCAAGCCTTTTCAGCATCGTTCGTGAGAGAAATATTCGTGGATACACATGCCGTCTTATTGAGGAAATAATCGGATTTTCTGAACGATAAAATGAACCCTTATAGCGTGCCATATCTACAACACGTTTTGTTCGATTAAAACATTTTTTATAATATTCTTGAAATGCTGGTTCCATTTGAAAATTATATTTTTCTAAACACATTGCAAGTGATATAGCATCTTCAATTGCCATATTTACTCCTTGTCCAATATGAGGTAATGTTGCATGACATGGATCTCCTAATAAACAAATTCGATTACGATGCCAACCATCATTACGATGTTGACGATAATATAATCCAAAATGAAGTATACGTTGTTTATCTGTTGCTGCTACACATTGATGAATAGGATGTGATTGAGGAAATTTTGTTAAACATTCACTTAATTCTTGTTGATTTTTCATTTTTGTCCATTCAGCATCATCACTTGTTGCAGAGCTGGGCAAAACACTCGAAGTACTCGTACTCGAGTACGATTTTGTTGGTACTCGTACTCGAGAGGTCGGTACTCGTACTGGTACTCGTACTGGTACTCGTACTCGTACTCGTACTCGAGGGGTCGGTACTCGTACTGGTACTCGTACTCGAGAGTGTTGGTACTCGTACACGTACTCGTGCATGTTTTTTCACACGTACTAGAGTTTGAAGTGCTCTAAATATTGAGGATTGACACGGCTGTTTCTTCGTCCCAAAATATGTCAGCATTTAATGTTGAGATTAATTCAGTGGCAACCTTTAATACCGCTGCAACAGTTTATTCTGCATATCTCTCAATCCCTTTTTTAAGTCGCAGGCATATCGCTCGGAAGAATGGTATAGCTTTCGATCATCTCTTTGGAGAGTACGATTTCGTCTCGAAAATAGACCGCTGAAAAATCGCTTTTCTTTGATCTCGCTACCAGTTAAATTTGTTTTGATGGTTCCTGTTTCGGTCTTGGTTAGATTTTTTCTTGTCCAGGTCTTGATCCTAGATCCGGTCAAAATTTTTTATTGATTCCGGTCCTAGGTCTGGTTAAAGTTTTCTATTGCTTCTGATCCCGATAATTTGTTTAAGAACAAAAGGTTTCTAGCAAAATTAAGCCTAAACTTTTACATTTTTGCTCGTATTCCCAAATAGTGATAAAGTTCCATTTCGAAATATAGAGAAGTATTCCAACAACACTTAAGAGTTTATACTAGAAACAGTGAAAGAAGGACAAAAAATGTACAATCAGAAGAATGGTTGAATTTCTATCAACCCAAATATGTATATATTGTACGAGTACGCCTATTTAAAAACCTATACATATCATCGAAAAATCTCAGGTGTTGAAATCAGGATCGAGATCAATGAGAGACTCGTATCGGAATGATAAATAAAAATGGCAAATCTACGCATTCTTAGTCGCCATCAAACAAGAAGCATGAAAATCTATAGTCTAGTTCTTCATAAAAAATACACCGGAAGCAGATTAAAAAGCTTTAGGTCCCGTCTGGTCCGGTACCGGAATCACTTTGCAATTCCCTACTCGAAAAACTGATTACGAGATGTTCTGAAATAAATATCTGCGATATTATCGATTGTCACAGCTTTATTGCTTTCAACACAAAAAATTAAACATTGAGAAGACAAAAAACGCTCTCATCTGCTTTCGTATATTCAGATAAATAGTATTATATCAGATAAGTACCAGGTGCCTATTTCTGTGCTTCTTCACCGCTTCTTGTCTCGAGTCAAGCGCACAATACGATACTAACTAACTTGTGACATACACCGATCATTGCGGTTAACATCTAGCTAGACAGTCTGTGCGAAAAATTCAAGTGAATGATTGAAAGAAATCCGAGTCAAGTCGGCCTTTTGCCGAGAGCTGCAGTTATTACTAAGTGGTTGTAGGAAATATATCGGGCTTACGGAACTGTCACCTGCGGACACCCTATAACCTAAGATAGCCGAAGAGCAGGGTATTCTTATTCTTCTGAATTTTGAAGATGAACAGAATAGCTGATTTCTTACGCGCTTGATTTAATGTAAAATTACATGCAGTTCTTTTCAACGATTATGTTGCTAAACAGTTGCATACTTTCTCAATGTATCAAAATTTCTTGTTCTCAGGCACGATTTTCGCAGTACTCGTATGCGTACTCGAGGGGTCGGTACTCGTACTCGAGGAGTTGGTACTCGTACTCGTACTCGTACTCGAAAAAGTCTGTACTTGCCCAGCTCTGACTTGTTGTTGGAGGTGTAACTGATGGATAAGTAATAGCCCACATATATTGTCCTTTATTACCAGTTCGGTAACTAAGACAGTGTCTATGACCGAAATATTGTATGAATGTATTTTTTGTTGTTATCATTGGATTAAGAGATGTTTGTTGATCGATATTATCTATCATACCATAGAAAAGATTTACTTTTGAATATATTGATTGAGCTGTTGGAGTAAAGATTTGTTTAACAACTGTTGAATGTATTCCATCTGCACCAATAACCATATCAACTTGAACTGGTTTTTGTTCTTTTTCATTGTCAAATGAAATTGTAACACCATCATTATCTTGTTTAATATTAGTCACATTATGAGAATAATGTAAAATACCATTCTTTTCTAAAGGTTCTTTTAAAACATCAACAAGTTCCGAACGAAGAGTACCACCCATAAAATAACCAAATCGTTTACCATAGTCACCTATTCTATCAGATGCAGCTACTATTTCACAATTGTCATTAAGAATTTGCCATTTTAGAAAAGGATGGAGGATTTTTTCGATTTGATCTTTGAAACCAATATGAGCAAGCGATATCTGTCCATTAGGTGTAAGACCAAATGCTGCTCCAACTGTTGGAATAAAATAAGATGCACGTTCATATAATGAAACGGACATTCCTATTTGTTTTAAAGCATTAGCAACGGTCAAACTACCGATTCCGCCACCAACTATTGCCACTGAACGAGCTGTTGCCATTACTTATATTGAATTATTTAATATACTCAATAGATTATCTAACAAAGAGAGAGTACATATAAATGATAATAGATTCGAACGTCTAATTGTAAAATCATGCATTTGGACAGATTTTTCGATAGAAAATTATTCTTATGTAATGATTTTAGTATTCATCATTTTATAACATGATTTTATATTGAATCCGATCATAGATAAAATTTCAGGAAAAACCCATTCTAATATTAAATGGCATTAGTAGAGCTAAGTTTCAGATACGATCACTGGCAGCGAAATATTTCAATTCTAGGAAGGTTCAACATTTTTTATACGATTTTTATCTGGAAGTTAAAAATGAGAGAAGACGAACTTTTGAATGTTATTTAAATAAAATATAATTAGTATCTCTTTTATCGAACTCTTACGTTCACTCTTTCTAAACATGGATGATATGCGTTCATATATATATATATTGCAAGTATCATCTTAGAATATCGCCAATAAATTTGATCATTGAAACAAAAACCATTGAAAACAGACGTTGCCGAATTTTGGTGAAGAGCACATTGACAGTGTAACATTGATACAGATGAGAAAAGAATTCGTAAGTTACGTAAAAAAAATCGTGTATTTGAAGAAAAATGCAAACATATATATTCATCGAGATGCAACTCTCAAAAGAGAAGATTTTGATTTACTTCACTCGGAACAAGCTTAATGGCGAAACAGAAATGTTTCAGAAAAAAAATGCTATATGGTAAGCTTCTGCATTGTTGAAAATGTTTATTAGGCACGTAATTTTAGTCGCCGGAGGCGGAGAAAGTTTTTAGAAGATTCTGGTTGATTTGACTCAAGCTCTTTTGTACAAGTCGTCTTCATTTGTAATGAAGGATTTCCACTTCTAGTCATAATCGATCTATCATTCAATATTTACTTATACAAAAATTATTGTTTTCTCAGCAACGTTTTCTAAATCTGTTGCGACGAAATATATTGACATTTATAATACAAGAAATGTGATGCATTACTCAAATCTATCAATCTGATGACAAGAAAAAAACATTTGAGCCTATTCTAGCCTACAAAGCATTAATCTAAGGGAAGACTTAGGCCTAATCAAGCTGTGTGGCTTCATCGCGTATACTTATTGAACATGAGGTGGTAGTAAATAAAATGTATACTTACCTTGTGATAGCGGACCATCTGTTAGAAGAAAATGAAAATTAAGTAGTAATAGATAATTTATACATTAGATAGAGTCTATCGAAACTCTTATCTATTTTATATAAAGTGGGTCTGAGCCTACTTATGCTTCATGGTTGCACTATCTGCAGATAAGATGTTATTTTGAAGAGCAATATTTGAGGATTCTTTAAAAAATTTGTTTCTGATAATTTTTTAAAATGATTAATTTGTCAATTTAAATAAATTAATAAGCAAGTCATTTATGAAATATTCTATTAGTATTAATATCATATGGCATAGATAGTATAGAAATGTTTTGAATTTAGCAACATTTCTTTTTTTAGATTAGTAAGTTAGTTTTGCGTCGGTACTACTGTAGTTTAGTCACGCCGTCAATGATATATATGTACAGAACGAGAAAAAAAATCGACTGTTCGACGCATAACCAGTAAATAAATGAAAGAAAATAAGACGTATCGATGTCATATGAGAACGAAAGACTTTTATTAAGAGAAAAAACATAGAACACAACTATTGAATAGGATAATTTTCAGAAATTTGTAATAGTAAATTGTTTAACGGTTTCTCGCCAAAATCCCGGCGTCAAACGAATTCCTCTGTATATATACGAATATTTTTTATTTAACACAATTTAATTTCTTTTGAAAAATCCACTTATTACTTTACTATTAATAGAAATTATAATTTATGTGTTATCAATATGTCATTCTTTTTTACTCATCTTCCTCTTATTGCATCAAAGAGTTATACTATTTTATTAAAACAATCATCTTAACTAATACAGCGATACATCTTTCATAAAACATCCATACAGTGTGCTCATATGACATCTCTATATCTTATTTTCTATCATTTATTTAATAGTTATGCTTCGACCAATCGATTTTTTTTCTCATTCTATACATATATATCATTGATATTGTGACTAAAGTGCAGTAGTACCATCTTGAGTTTTTCTTAGACATATTTTGATTATAATATTATTATATTGATCAAAAAATCGTGAATAATTGCATTCGAAAGGACAAAATCATTTTTCAATGGCTGTTGTTAACTAATCAGAATTTGAATGTGCATAATGCTGGCTGTACACTATACGCTTGTTGAGATCATTTTGTAAAGAGATTCGTTTGAAAAAATAATTGCACAGAAAAATTAGAAAGATCTTACAATGTTGTTATATAATATTTTCATGTTGATTATTTTTCTTTTTTAAATTCTCTTCATCATGTTCACTAACGACATCACAAGTGTTGTTTGTTTTATTGGTTCTGCTGCTAAGAAGCAGCTAAGCAACGTAAAGAAACGGATTATAAATAAACATGTGATAAAAACGAAAATGCATTATTCAATGTTCTAAATTCTGTTGTGCCTATGTTACACACTGAAGTAAATACTGTTGTGTGTATTCAAACAAAGTAATTTTTAATACATTCATATTTAGATTCTCGTAAATAAATTTTTTCTCTGATCCCTGAATATATTATCAATTTTATTATCATTTCAATGTCTTTTGAGTTTATGGGTCCAATAATTAAGATTTATGTAGTTGGTGAAAGTAAATATTTAATATTTTGAAGACAATATTAATTTTGTTTGATGAAATATGAGTGAATAAACTAATAGCAAGATAAACTAATTCAATAATCATTTTATTTATTTTAAACAAAAATATATAGTGAAGTTTTCGAACCGTTTCAAAAGGTCATTATGAATATTAAAGTTATATGAAGGAAATTTACAGATAATGTATAAGACAATTTTTTTTCTCTTTTGTTCAGTTCTGAACATTGTACTACGACAAAATCATTTCTTTTCTTCGCGGTATAATGTTCAGAACTGAACAAAAGAGAAAAAAAATAGTCTTATATGTTATCTGTAAATTTCTGTCATATAACTTTAATGATCTTTTGAAAGAGTTCAAAACATTCGCTGTATTTTTTTGTTTAAAATAAATAAAATGGTTGGGTGTGTGGGTGTGGGTGTAAAATAAGTCGGAGATTCACACTCACATCCTATTCTGCTATTTCAAGGTAGAGTAGATACAAATGAAATGAAATTCACATTTTTGAGTGTTCACTTAATATGAAAAGTATGATGGTGAATGAATTATATGATAAATAATCAAGATAGATTGTATTTTTTTAAGCATACACTCGATATTGTCAAAAATAGCTTACCGAAACCTTATGTCGAATATAGTTGAGGCAAAAGCAAGCGTGACACATTTGAAGAGCACTTTATAATACCAATGAAGTTCATCATTGCTCGAGCTTTTTAATCAAATAAACCTGCGTTGTACGAAAAATATTTGGCCGCCGCGTGAATCCATCGCATCGGAACAACTCCGATGTGGGCGAGTCGATCACTGTTGACAGCCGCATATCAAGAAACAACGACCTTAGAAAGACAAATCAGTGATCAGAACAAAAGTATGCCTATACTCACGTTATCGACAATTATAGTTCCTGAAACAAAATATAGTAATTAAGTATTTAATGACAAATTACAATAGTTTTCTGACAATCTTATGTAATGGGTGAATAATAGCCTTGTTTGACTTCGGTGGTAACACAATTAACGTTGACCATAATGATTTCGTTCTGCACTGCTGATCGTACGTACAAACGATCATGGGGTTTGCCATTCATAAGAAAAATAAACTCATGTTTTTGGCCTTTTTTCCACACGATTGGAATTATATGACGAGGCGTAAGAGTAATTTTGTTGCCATACTCAGTCCAAATCACTGTAGACAGTGCTGAAAACATACAGTATCTGGCGTTAATGGATAATAATGTTTGTTCTACTCACTATGGACTGTTGCCGAGCTGTACGAAATAATGAAGATTTCCGATTCAACAATCTCACCTACCTGATTCATGGCCAATATGATGGCACCTGATCGAAGCTCAGCCACAGTCTTTGTTTGATTCGTCCTACCTAGTTGAATAATTCCATCGCCCGCCAGACAATCTCTTAAAAGTGAATTTGTATGCGTCGAATTCTACGATTTGTTGAATAAAGATTCCAAGAAAACAACAAAGATTGCACTGTATACATACCAGTGGCTTCTTTTCTCAGATTTCTCGAGAATAACTAAATGAAAAAGTTTCCGATTTCCAGGAGGAATAGATATTGATAGTGGACAAAGGTTATGCTAGATTCGAGTTTTCATAATTTTTCTTTCACTGAGATGTTAGGAAGTGAAGAAGAAAAAAATATATTGTCTCTCGTTATTTCTTCGTCATCTGATATTTTTTTCTAGATGAAAAAAATAGAACTACTAGAGAGATCATGGTAATGCATTTTGTTCGACTAGGGTGTGGGTGTGGGTGTGGGGTGTGGATGTGGGTGTGGAAGTGAGTGTGAGTATTAGCACAAGAAAATAACACACACCCACACCCACACCCACACCCACACCCACATCCTCACCCACACCCACACCCACCCACACCAACACCCATACCCACCCACACCCACACCCACATTCACACCTCCACACCCTCACACCACACACCCCATATTGCACCAAGAGTACATGTTTATGATGGGGAATCTTATTCATCATTTGAAACTGTGTGTAATCATAATTTATGTAATACTAATGAAACACTTTTACAAGTCAAAACTCTTCTTAATTACGGTTTAATGGATGAAAATAGTAGATGAATTGCACACTTGATTTTTAATATTTTTATTCCTTTATGAAACAAAAAAACCATTATTCTTTTAAAATGAAATTATATTTAATTTAGTTAAAGAAGCAAAATATGAATTATTAACTCCTGTATGTAGAAATCAATTAGGTTCAT